CGGCCCCCCCCCCCCCCCCCCTTCCCCAAACTCTGCCCCAAGAATCTCGCTTGCCGAGTATGTGCTGACGAGACGATAGGCATCCGCCCGTTGGTTCGTGACCCCAAGGCAGGCAACACCGAGTCTCTGGTGCGCTCGCACCTCGTCACCGTCTCGCCCTCTGGCCTCCTCACCTGCGCCGGCGGCAAGTGGACGACGTACCGCCAAATGGCCGAGGACGCCGTCGACGAGGCCGTCAAGGCGTTTGGCCTGACGCCCCGGTCCGTCGCCCTGCCCGACATCAGCGGCTACCACCTCCCGGGCTTCGTCACCGACGGCCGATGCAGGACGCTGTCCACGCCCGTCCTCGGCGCTCACGGCTTCTCGGCCTCGCTGCCCTCGCAGCTGATGGAGCTGTACCCCATCGACGCCGACGTCGCGCACCACCTCGCCACCAACTACGGCGACCGCGCCTGGGCCGTCCTCTCCGCCTCCCCCTCGGTCGCCCGCCTCGTCCCGTCGTTCCCCTATATCGAATCCGAGCTCCGCCACGCCGTCCGCTCCGAGGCCGCCTGCACCGCTGCCGACGTCATCTCCCGCCGGACAAGACTTGCCTTTTTGGACGTCGACGTCGCCCTGCACGCCCTGCCGCGCGTCATTGACGTCTTGGCCGAGGAGCTCGCGTGGTCCGAGTCCCGCAAGGAGCAAGAGTGGAGGGATACCGTGCGCTTCCTGAGGTCCATGGGCTTGGATGAGGACAAGCTGGGCGTCACGAGAGACGACGTCATGAACGGGAAGGTGAGGGCACGGAGGGCCCTGGGCGCCAACGAGGCCGCCAAGGACGTCAAGATTCCATTGGGGAGACAGCTGGAGGCTGGTGCCATGAGGAATGCTGCATAGGAGCGTGGGCCTTTTTTTCTTCTTCTTTTGTTCTTTCGACTAGGGGTAACGAGTGTGTCTGGTTTATTTGGAAAGGAAAGCCCGCTTTGCTTGATGCATGTTTTACACCTGGGCGTTGGGCGTTGGGCGTTGGGTAAGACGTAGAGTCTTTAGTTTGCATTAGAGCCAGTCATGATTAGCGCTCATATTCTAAGTTGCAATGTATTTGATACGTTTAAGAAGGCTGGATTCTGTGCTCAAGAGTGGCAGCGTCGGACAAATGTCTAGGTGCAAAACCAACCCCGTGGTCGGCTCGAGTCAACAAGTAGAGCTGACTTTATTCATCTCGGTGAACGATTTGCGGAAAACGCGGCCGTTTTCAAAGTTTCCCATCGTCCGAGCGTAGATAGCGCTCGGCTGCGCATCTTTGTTTCAATGTGAGAATCCTAGTCCCGTCATGAGGCAGTCTTGGTGAGGCCCCGACTGCCATTTTTGAAAGTTCCTTGAGCAATATAGCGAGCCTCGGTATTCCTGTGTACCTGTCTGTCAATTTCTCCCACTATAGATTGGAAATCGCAAGCGCAGTGTACCATCCCCGGTAGCAGCCACGGAGCACTTTTCCGCAACCAAGATGAAGAGAGTTCTGCAGGTCTGCTGGAGATTGAGGTATTGTGAGAATACTGTCCATGGTATTCCTGAGCGGTAGCCAGCGTCAAAATCGAAGTGATTCTGGGGAACAGAATTTTTTTTTTTTTTTTGGACGATGCAGGGACAGATGTGTCTTTACGGGATGTCTGGTCAAACGAAACCCGTGTTCCGTGACCACCACACGAGATTATGACTTGCAGCGCTCAATCGTTGCCACGTGTGAAGAAATGTTGCCTAATGGCGTCGAGGCGTGCAGACTACTTGTGCAATGTGTGTCGTACATTGTCGACTCGATTTCCTCCCGAGCAGGACTTGCCCAAGTGTTCCTTGATGAGATCCCAAAATTTACAACTGGCCCTTTTGCACCCTAATTAAGCGCAAAACTACTCGCTCACCATCGTCGGAGGAGAAGGCATATAAGGACGCCACGGCCAGGACGACATGACAAGGTGATGCATTCACTTGTGAGTGGGCTGCAGGCGTCTTATGAGACGGCTTTACATCTTCATTTCGCCACGTGGTTATCCAGCCTCGCCCCGGGCACTCTTGGATAATGGGGTCCGTCAGCGGTCCAAACCGACATGTTTTAGTCAAGATACTTCGTGTATTCACAAATGGGTCTCGTTATACGACAAAAGGATGCCCGGTCTTGTTAAAAAAAGAAACCCCGGATTACTCGGGAGACAAGCACATTGTAGCTGCGAGCAGTCACTCTAGCTGCCCATTCGTTCCTCCTTCCCAGGCCCTGCAAGTGAATCAACTCGAGACTCGGGTTTGCCGATAATAAGCTGGCCGTACAAGCTAATCCATTGCAAAAGCTTTATATTATTGCCATGCGGTAGTGCTAAAAATGCACCAAATGCTCCCCTCCCCGTGCGCCTTGAAATGCCCAGCCCCAGTCCACCCCATATCCATGAATCAGAGTCAATGGTAGAATGCGAAAAAGTACATCATCGTCCACGTATCAAGTATTAAAAAAAAAAGGTGTTCCTCCCCCGCAAGCGCCGTCACGCTACAGCGCGCACGGCTTGTAGCTCATGCTGGCAGTTCTGCCAGCGGAGGAGGGCGAGTACTAGTATCCCCAGGAACCGGCTGGTAAACACGACACGGAAGCTTCTGCGTGGCTCGAGGCGAGACACAGTCCGACTGCAGCTCGGCAACACTATCCGTGCAGTCGGTGGCCGGGCACCGGACGCCGGCGCTGCTTGCCAAGGCCTCGCCATCAGCACCGGGCCGCTCCCTTGATCGGTGCCGGAAGAGGAGGAACACCAGCGCCATGGCGATCAAGCAGAAGACGCTGACGGCGGCGCCGATCCCAGCCCGGGCACCCACCGACAGGTCCTTCTCGGGGGGGGACGAAGCCGGGGTCGGCGAGGGTGCCGGCGCGGTCGAGGCCGACTCTGCCGCCGAGACGGACGACGTGGCGCCCTTGTCGGTGACGTTGAAGTAGCTCGAGGATATCTGGTGCAGGTCGTTTCCCTGGTGCGACGCGCCGCCCTCGAAGAGCCAGAAGAAGAAGGTCCGGGAGGCCCCGAGGTCCAGGTTGTACGTTTGCACCGTCCAGGTGAAGCTGGACGACGGGCCGTCCGTGGTGGCTTCGAGCAGCAGTTAGCCAGCGTTGTCCAAGAGCCGAAGCTTGCTTTTACCCCGGGCCATGGGTCGTGTAATGCAAGTTGGCTTTCTGGCCGGGGCCGGGACAAGTCACAACTCACCGTAGACAATGGACCCGAGTTTCGGACGATTTCCATTCTCAGCGCGTTGCCACAGTGCGATTGTATAATTCTTCAGATCCGTCGTGTACGAAACGTTCACCTTGTCGCCGGCTACCAGGACCGCTCCCGCCGCCGGGCTGGTAAACTGGCTCGTTGCCAGCGGCGAGATGGCCAGCAGGCATGCGAGTATTCGACACAGCATGGCGGGCTTCGTTGCAGGACAGCTTTCGCACATCACAGGGGGGGTGCTTGACGTGCATGAGAGGAAAAGGACGAGAGCTGCGTCAGCATCAGGTAGGATGGTCGAGCAGGCGGGTTAATTGGTTGCGGATGTTTATTCAGGAACAAAGAGCTTTCGGGAAGGGGGGGAACCCATATTTTGGTTCCCTCCCGGGGGGTTTTTGGGGTTGTTTACATGTAAAGGCCGGATGTTATGAATCGGGTTCCCTTTCGAGAGCTAGTCGCAATGCGGCACATGGGAGTCCGGGGAAGCCTGTGATGGCTTTGCATTGGCCTGCGGTTCGTGATGCCGGTTCATGGTGGCGGCTGCTCCGTGCCATGGTATGGGGGGGACGCACGTCCCGATGAGAGGAACCACGACGCCGTGGATGATATGAACGACAAATATGAGTGGTCTGACAGGTTAAAGTATGCTTTGAGCTATCCGGGTGTTGAGTTATCCCAGGACAGCACTGGCGAGTTGCGCCCGCATGAACGGAACTGAGACTATCTGGGAAACTTGGCCTCGCGAGAAACTCCAAGGCGAGAGATTTGGGAATGACGTTGAACCGGCTTGCGGATATATGCCTCAATAGAGGAGCCGCCACGGGGAGCTTGGGCCATGTTTACCCGAATGCGCCAGGGTCATTCGTCGTGCCCAACGCGTGGTTGTCCAGCTTTGTCCTTGTGTGTCGCTGGTTTCCTCCCAGCTCTCATCAGCTATTTATTCACCTTTGCCCATTATTGCGCTTTGCTCATGTTCATCTCGTACGACTTACCTACGACTCTGCCGGCGTTCCAACTCTTGAGACCTACCCAGTCTCAGCAATGTAACTTGGCCCTCTTGGCGTCTTCCGTCTATCATCGCGGGCATCTTTTGTTGTCTCTTGGCCCACCACGTCCGGCCAGCCGTCCTTGTTACAACGCCACCAGAAGGCACCAACCGCTTCATAACCAGGGCAACAACGCCACTGACAGCATCACCTGATATTGTATCAATGGGGGGTAGACGGTCCTGGTTCGGGAATTGGTGATTGCCTTGGGAGACGACCCTGTGGGTGGCGGAGCTGACCCCCGAGTTATCATTATCGTACAGCAGCGGGAGAAGAGAAGTTGACATGTACGAAGCTTTTCCATGGCTGAACATGTCTGTCGGGCTCTCTGGAATACTGCACGAGACTGGGGCCAGGCCGTTCTCAGCCGACTTGGTGTTTCCCCGGTTCCCACTGTGGTACTATGTTTCCAAGACTCGGCCCTCGTTATGCCAATCTTCAACCCTCTGTCGTTAACCATACTCCGGAGTCGACTGTCGGTTCACTGGAGTGGCATTTATATCCAAGATCCCGAGAGCGCTCGCCCAAGGCCTCCGGGACTCCCGTCACAACCAAGTAGACCCGACCAGATGTCAACAATCGTCGTTTCCCAATGGCTGTACATGTGTGATGTATTTGGTTGGCGGACGCGAGGCCTATATTAGTCCCATGAGGACCCCAAGATGGCTAGCACACACAAGTGTCGTCAAAAGTGTTATTCAGTTTGGTCCCTCTATTAGAGGAATAAAGCTACTAGATGTCAGTTGATGTCAGGTCTCTGTCCCCCAAGGCATCAAGACGTTCAACGGAAAAGTCCGCGTCTCGAACATCTCGTGACGACTTGTTGCTCCCATGGCATAAACACCACTCGGACCCTGGGCATGCTCAGCCGCGGCTGCCCCCCCAACACGTCAATTCTTTGTCTGTCCTTGTACCATGGGACGAAATGTCTATAAAAGACATTGAGACCTGTGTGTGTGCCCGCCAAAGGACAAAAGGCTAAACATATTATTCGCCACCACCAGAGGACATAGCGCCCTCCCCTCGCAAAAGTCCCTGTTGGACCGATGACAGTCGTCGACTCGTCGGGCCAAGTCTGCGTTTGGGGGGGCTCATTCGCAGCGGCCCCCGGCGCGAATGGAGATTTTTACTGACGAAGCTTGTGTATGCAGCAAGTGACGCGGCGGCTGCTGGCTCGTTGGCTGCTTTGGCAATTTAAACGTGTGAAGCTGTGCTTGGCATGGCCGGTAGACGATGTAAAAGACCTAAAGATGAGAGCCGTACATTCTCCTAGAACACCCGCTTCTGGACAAGAGCCCTCCCCTTTTTTTGTCTTTGGGACTTTCCAGGACATTTGTCCTGCCAAGACATGAGTATATCTTTGAAGGGAGGCGCACAGGAATAGCCGGGATAGGATTTGCATCTCCCACCGGCGTCCTCAGTCAACAACAGCCTAGTAAACCATGGCATGAGTCATTGGTGCTTTTTGCCGTCGAAATCCAAATGGAAAGAAACAAATAAGAAATTACACCGTCACGTTGTCCATCTGGCGTGGCTCATCGGATTGTTTCAAGTGAAAATATCATGTATATGAACAAAAAGAATACATGAAGAGCAAAGAAAAGGAGAAGAACTCATCTAGTCCGTTTGCCACCCAATGAGCTTGTGCAATCTATGTATCTCGTCCAGCCTCTGCCGCATCAGCTCCAAATCATCTGCCTCGTCGCGCAGCGCCGCCTTCAACAAGCCCAATGCACGCTTCAAATCGTCGACGTGCCCAGCCTTGCCCTCGGCCGCATTGTCCAGAGACGGCAGGCGTCTCTCGGTGCTGGAAATGGCTGTCCTTGCGCCCCTGACCTGGCTCCAAAAGACATTCGTCTGGTTCACGTACCCCGTCTGCTCCAGGGGAAGCTCCCATTCGAGGGGCGTCTTCTCGACCGTGTCGAGCCATTGGGCCATGCGCGACCAGCGGACGTCCTCCAGCCCCGGGAAATGCACCAGCAGGCTCCCCTTGTCGCCCTCGAAGCCGTGGGAGAACTCGTAGGCGTTGATGAGCGGCCTCGGCATGTAAACGACTGCGTCTGCGTACCCCTTGCCGTCCGGCCCGCCGGCCGACTTGTTGAAAATGCCGGCCATGACGTCCTGGTCGGCGTTTCGGCCGAGATCGGCTTCTGGGTGGTGCAGCGGGTAGCCGATGGTTTCGGTGAGCATGGTGACGGTCCAGGGGTGAACGCGCAGGAAGATGATGCCCGTGTTGAGGCCGTTGTGGTCCCGCGATGCCACGACGTGGATGTCGGCCATGTCCGGGGGCGGGAGGAAGATTTCGGCAGGGATTGCCGGGTTGATAATGATGGAGTCTGCGTCCACCCACCTGTTTTTGTTGATTTATCAGCATACGTGCCGGTATGAATGAAGCCTTGGTGTTGGATTTGCTTGGACCAGAGAGGTGCCAAGTTTGCGAACCACCAGAGCGCCCTCCTGCTTTTTTTTTTCTAGGAATCCGAGGGCAATGGGGAGAAAAACTTACATCATCCATTCTGTCCTCTCGCCGACTGGTTTTGCAAGTTCATTGACGACGGCGGCGAGCAGGTAGGTGGGTTTATTCCAGAAGCCAACGGCAATGTCCTGCCGCAAGACGAGCATCGGATATCCCCATCGCGCTGCGTGCCGCTCGTGGCTTTGTATGGCCCTCTCATACAGGCTATTCGGGTGCCCGTACAGCATGGAAACTTTGGCCACCTTGTGCGAAGAGGGCAGATCCGAGGACTCGGGCGGCGGCGGCGGCAGCGTGGGAAGCCGGTCTCGCATGAAGTATACCAGGCCCAGGATGTATATGGCGACGGCGACGGCTACCACGCGGCCCAGCTTCAGCTTTTGGTATCGGGACATTGGACCGAAACACGGAGCATGTGATGGTGATGGTGCTTCCATGGAGTAATGTGATTGCAAAGTCGGAAGGCCGGAGGAGCAAAACAAAAGGATGAGGATTCCCGGCCGCGCCCGTAGATTCACATGCTTATGTGAGAGGCGCACTGGTCATCGTGATTGTGAACGTGCGATTGCCGGTGAAGATGAAAGTGGAAAAAAAAAAGAGTAAGAGGTCAGATTCCGCCTGACGGCCTGTGGTAGCGAGATGTACTCTTGGCAGTGGCATTTTCTCCCTTGGTCCATTCGATACGACAGACCCCAATCTCACGCGCCGACTTGTATGTACTCGGGCTTGTACTCCGTCTCGACTCGCTGCCCTGCTTCCGATAGCACGACACCCTAGTATTGCCCGAATCCTTGGCCATGGATGGCGCTTCTTGACTCGAAATGGGCTCTGTTCTGCGGACACATTCCGTGAGCGGCATGGTGGGATAGACAGACGGCCCGCACATACACAACTACCTAAGCATGTAAGACTGACTGTGATTGTGACCGAGACCGTTGAATGATGTCTACGCCCGTCTCGGCGAATGCGGCCTCATCACGTCCGGACACACCAAGCTTAATCACAAGATTGAAAATAGAGCGGCAGCAGCACCAATACATGCTCGCTGAAACCCCACAGCGACGCCACATTGGCCGACATTTTGAATCTTGTTTATGGACAAGGATGCTGCGCCTACGGCCAAATCCTGGCAATGGCCCGACAGCCGTCTCTCCCTCTCGGGCAATTTTATTTTTCATTGCTGTACTAAAATTAGGCACTCCCAGTCTCAGTCACCCGTCGATGCCCGACTAGTTATTTGGAGACTACTTTGGGAACATTGAAACGTCAACTGGTAAAACACACATGCAGCCGGCGCCGTGACTGGTGCCAAGACTCCCAACAAATGGGGGCCAGGCCCCACCCGAAAACCACTGAAACTCCAAGAACTCCCAAAAAAAAAGCACCAGACCAGACCCAAGCTTGATAGAGCCGGAGCCTTGATGCCACGACGGTCCGTCACCCCCAACCGCTCAAACGCATAAACTGGCGTCATCAGGAACCATGTGCCGGCATGAACATTTGCTTGGCAGTTGACCCTTCACATGGCAAGCGCTGCCGCCAGCCCGCACGACAGCACCACGGTGCCCGGCACCCACAGCCGCCGCCTCGACCCGCCAGAGCTCGCGATGACCTTCTGCGGCTCAAACGTCGACGGCGCCGTCGAGTTGGTCGTTCCATTCCAGCAGTGCCTCGAGTAGCACTCGGCACACGCCGCCGGGATGGCAGTCCCCGTGCGTTCCAGGCTGCGTGCCAGCACCGCGCAGCCCACACACGTTGCCCAGTTGGCGTCGACGGTGCCGTTGCCCGCCGTCGCCACGTTGTATCCGTTTTCAATCATCTGGTTCCTGTCCGAGTCGCTGTACGACAGGTCAAACGTCGAGACGTTCGAGTAGAACGTGTACGGCGCATTGGGAATGTACACAATCAGCGCGCCGGCCGACGCGTTGCCGCACCCGAAAAAGGTAGGGCGGCTGTTCAGGCCCAGGTTCACAAACGTGTTCACGTCGGGCACGACTGGAAACGCAGTGTTGTTTGTCTCCCCGCCGCTCGTGGATCGGTTGTACGTCGCCACGAGACTCGTCCCGTTTGGCCACGACGTCTGCGTGTCGGCGGAGCCGTCCACGGCAAAGATGACATCGACCTGGCGCGCCTTCAGGGTGAGCGGGTGCAGCGGGATGTTCTCCAGGGCCTCGCCGCCGTCGACGAGCGTGAGGAGGCTGGCGTTGGCGTTGATGTTGCTGCCGCTGTCGAATTTGTAAAACGGGTTCGGCCAGCTCGCAACGTCTCGGTTCTCCTCGCCAATGCTCCCCAGCGTCCTGTTCAGTGCTCGAACCAGCACGTCTGGGACGCCGGACGCTCTGCCAATCTGTAGGAACGCCTGGTTAAACAGCGAGGACGACGTGCCCATGACGAAGCCCGCGTTGTCTACGCCGGCGAGGCACTTCGCCGTCCGGCTGATGGTGCCGCCGTTGAAGTCTGACCCGACGTATTTCAGGGGCGCAAAGGCCGCCGCCTCGGGGTCGTAGGATCCCATTTCCCAGGGGTTGAACTCGAAGACCGTCGCGTTGGGGGGCACTTGAAGCTGGCCTGCGGCTCGCTCGAGTGCAATAATGATGGGCATGGGTGAGTTGGCAGCCGCGAACTCGGTGTCGTTGGCAATGGATGAGAACGTGTACGCTGGGGGGGAGAAGACTCGCATCAGCTCTTGCTCCTGCACGTAGACTTGGAAAACAAGGAATTTTCGTACCTGGCCCTCCGTCTGTTGAGTTTACGAGTTGGTAGGACAACGCTCGTCCCCAATAGTCGGTAATGGTCGTGTTGAAGCTGGCATTGGCTTTATCCTGTACCGTCTGATACAGCTCGCGGTAGTATTGTCCAACACGCAAACCCGCCGGTCCTGGATTGCCGGCAAATTAGCACGCACGCTTCACAAAACACAACACGGTGTCCGAGAATCATACCTTCGAGAACCGAATTGTCAAACTGCCAAAGCGTGCTCAGAAATCCGCTCGTCGACAGGACGATCGAGTCCACAGTGGTAAAGTTCTGCACAAACAGGCTTCCAACGAGCCAGCTCCCTCCAGAAAGCCCGCTTAGATATGTCGTCGCCTGTAGCAAGCCGCCCAACTGGCCTTTCCCCGTCGAATTGGATGTTCGGTTGTCAAACGCTGAAATTGCTCCTGCGCCATTCATCAGAGCCCGGTACCCGCCTCCAGACACGGCGACACCAATTCGGGGCAGTACGGCGCTCTTATTCCCACCATCAATGTCCTTGACGATATTGTCGATGTACTCATTGGTATCTAGACCGCTGATATTGAGGCGGGTGAGAAGACTTTTCAATGCTGGAATGGTGTTGTTGTCACGAAGGTTGAGCCATGTTGTTTCATTGGTCGAAAGGCCGGTAGCAGCCCGGATCGTCGGTCGCGGGGATGGGCAAGACACCGAGGCTGGGGCGTAGCCATCGGGGGCGTTTGGGACAGCCCGGTGCTCGAAAGCGGTGCATACGGCTGCTATGAGTTGTTAGTTGACGTGAAGCTGTCACCTGTACTTGTGTATTGGCATACGTTGAAGTAATGACAGCCAAACTGCCAACAAAGTGATCAAAGTCGAAGCTAACATCAGGACTTATTCGCGCCCAACGCGGTGGTGTTGATGGGCCAGAATAATAAAAGTAGTGTCTGGTAGCTACGCCCTCACCCTTGCGCGGAATGATTCAGCGGCTTCGGTGCAATATATTCTTCTCCCCAGTGACAACTAACCCAGTTTACTACAAGACAGACTTACAACCGTGGGCTTGTAACCCAAATAGCTATTAGTCCGTGAATGCCACATCAGAACCTTCCAGACGCCGTCTCCAGCCTCTACCAAGAGTGCTGAAAAGCTTTACTTTTGCGCTGGCTCTGGTTGCCGTTAGACTTTCGTATGCTTCATTTGGCGCAACTCATGTCTCACTCACCAAGCACAAATACAGCAACAGCTTGCTTCCCGCTCCCACCCAGCACCCGAATGGTGAATTCATCCGACTCGACAAGGTGCTCAAACTTGCTTGGAGCTACATATCGGACATCCCAAGACAGTGAAATCTTGTCTTTCTCGCCGTACCCAACGATGCGGTAGCTAACAGCTCCAACGGTGCCCGCGCCCACATGGCGCGACTTACAGCGCCACATGCCGCTCTCCCCGGCCCTGATCTCGACAGGCGGCTCCGACTCTGGCGTGTCTGTCATCCAATCACCATGGTCGAGATGTGGGGATCCTGGTTCAAGAGAAAGCTCCTCGTTCGTGTGGTTGAGGAGAATGACTATGAGCTCTCGAGCGGCCATCTTGGATGTATCTGTTTTCTTTTTGTCTTGTTCTAGTGATTTGAGACGATGGCTCAACGATGACGCCGACGATGGGAGGGCAGCCGTAAATAACCTTGACTCTCAATTGCGGGGACGTAGCATACAATGTCCATGGTTCGGGGGTACGATATGGTCTGCTCTGTTGTGGCTCGGTCTGGACTGGGACTGGCGCAAGGTGCCTCGCCGGATAGGGGTTCGCGAAAGCCTCTTTTTGAGCGTTGTTGCGCCACCATCGTTGGCGACCTTGGACTCTGTCAGCGAGGCATACCCTTCCCGTTCAGAGTATCGTGGTCATTTTCTTGTTATTGCATTTGCGAATCGGTTCCCGTGACGTGTCGGACAATTGAGTTTGGAGACGGTGAGAAGGCGTCAAGGTTATTACGCCCCCTTGATAGAATGTTAAGCCCGTCTCTCAATTCCATCGCACTATTGATTTCTTATGCTCACATACCGGCTTCAGCTGACCTTTTATGTTGAATCGAGTGGCGAATTCGATGCTTTCCCATTCCTTTTGCACCTCTTCAACCGCAGGGGAGCTTCAGGTACCAGGCATATACCTTGGAAGATCATGGACTAGAAATCATAAACGGCCACGGGGGCGAATATAGAAATGCGGTACATGAGTTCATGGCTTTCAATGTGTTCCTAGGAGAAGAGCATCCAATTATATGTCAGACTGCCTTGCAGACCTGCCGGAGACGCGTAATGAAGGGACGGTTCCAACAAGTCTGAGGTGGCTAGAGATATGAGTCCGTCCTTTGAAGCCCCTGATGACACGTCCTTTGAAGCCGACGTTTTATTTTGTCAGATATTGTTGGACTCGAGGCCTGTAAAGTTACTACATATATATGTAGAAAAGGCAAAGGATGGACGTTTAGCTTGACAGCTCGAAAGTGAATTGCTACCCAAATAGTTCCAAGCATCCGCAAGTCATAGTTACCCTCAAAATCCACCCGGGTGCTGAAATGGTGCCTTCTTCAGTGTGCTCTTGGGATTTCGACATTTACACAAGGCGAACTGGGATCCAATGTTCGTGGTTGGCAGAAGAGTTTTATGGCCCAGATCAAAGTAAATTCTAACGGCGAAAAATTGAAGTATGTCTTCAAAATATTATTCAAATGGAGTGGATATCTGAGGACTGAATGCGTTCCCATGGGCCAAACATAATGTTGGTATTTTCTTCCAGTCGGCGGGGTGCAGAGCCGCAGAAAAGAGGCACTAGGCCTCTTTATTATGGCAGCTGGCCCAGAATGCGTTAGCAATTATTCCATTTCGACACGTTTCATGTTGCTAACTTGAGTAGGATGCCATGAAGACGCAATATCATTTATTGAGGTTGAAAGGAGATGACTACACGGGCGAGGTAGCCTGCGAGATGATCCAAGCGTCATATTATGTGACGAGAGTGCCGTAAATCATACTACCATAGCAAGGCAATTCACATCCTAGTCCCGTGAAGTTTTGGGTCGTCAATTTCTTGCAGCTCATCAAATTTATGACAGTCGCTGTTGAAACACTTCACTCAATAAAGAGGTGGTTCAAGGTATTTGATCGCGTCAATCTTCCAAGTGCATTTGACTGGACACCAGAGCGTCAAACGTGGAGGAAGGAGCTACCCGTTTACGGAGTAGTGGGAGGCGCAAGGCGTCAGCTTCGGGCAACACCCGACACTCGAAACATGGATGATTTTCTCTCACAACTGGTTGACCTCGGCGAGACTCCAATAATGGCCAATGACCTACTAATCCAATTGACCTGTCAACATTACTCCTGGGCGTGCTTGATATCTTGTGCCATGGACCTGATTGCCCTTTTTGGCTGCAGCCGACGTCTTGGGCCATTGGTGTGTCCGTGTCGCCGCCAACTCCACAAACACCAGGTAACAGGCAGTTCCTTCTGATCGATACAGTTATTGTCACAAAAAGCCCGCTAGAAGATAAGTACCAATACTTCGATTATGCGGTCTTTCTCGGATTTTTCAGGGCCTTTGTGGAGGGAGGTGCATCTTTTGGAGCTTTCGCAGCATCATGGGGATAGCTACAGAAAGCGCCAAGAGAATTTGATCACGCTCCCCTGAATCCATAAGGTAGGTAAGGCCTAGCGCTTGGCAACGAACTGTGGATATAATCAGCTTGGCGAAAGATGTTGCTTACACCTTGAACAGCATCGGCTACTGCTTCTATTGAAATACGAGAAACGTGGCAGTTGTTGCTCCGAGATCACCATGGTGGACAGGGTTAGGTACTCGTTGTCGAGCCCTTGAAGTCTTGGTTACCGAGTACCTTTGCGCTCATAGTTATATCCTAATGCGCAGTCAGACCGCCAAGGGTGGCCCCAGATCGAGGATTCGATCAGGCACTAACTAAAACCATCAACCAACAGCTTGATTGAGGCTGTGCTGGCCGCTAGACGCTAAAGACCGAGTTGCAACGCAGGGTCTGTTTGCGTCGCCGTCACCGATGAGCCAATAGAACTTGCAATCGACGGTTTTGGAGAGGTTGCGGGACTTATTCGACCATGAACCGGGCGGCCGTTGTGGACGCCAACGGGTGAGCTTTGACTTTCGCACCATAACTGGCTTGCACCCATCTGTTCGACACACACCAAATGTTGCTGAAGCAGTCAGCAGCCCGGCTCTGGCAGCATCTGTACCCTAAACAACATTGGACTTTAGTGACGGTATATCAAGTCGAATAAACAGGCATGAGCTTCCCTTCCTGTCACATTCGGCTGCGATCAGCTGAATCATGGATGAATAGCTGCCACTCGTTAGCACCAGGTGCCACCACACGATCATGGCTGAATAGCTACGGGTGATTCACGCCGCGGCCGCCAACGAAAGGTTTCTCAAGCCTAGTGGAGCTTGAAGCAATGCGATGTCGATCACTACAGGTGGTACCGACGGACCCACGGAACCATCAAGCACGGACATGGTACTCCGGTACTCAATTTTGACTCATTCTTGGCGGAACGAAAAAGGGGACCTGTTGGATGCCACCTGGATAGGCGGGCCGGCAGGCCATAGGGCTGGTGATTGACCTCCACTCATAAACCTCAAATGGGCCCCCAACAGAGGCATATTCTCTCTCTGCCTAGCCAAGAACATGGCGTCGTAGCGCAGGCACCACCGCTTCCATTGCCACGGTCTCTTCATTATTGTCGTGGGCTATGTAATACAACGTCAATATGGGTTCACTCAAGGAGAGCTCCTCAGATGTGACTACCAAGTCTTATCGTTTGTCATCTCGAGCCAACAGCTTCACGTATGAGCGACTCCACAAAGGCCGGCAGCTACGAAGATTGCTAGGCGCTTGCTTGTCTCGATGGCTCATGACTCTGGTTTTCTGTGCGGCCATATATGCTGTGCTATGGCGGTATTCGACCAATATAACAATGCCTAAAACGAGGAAGAAGGACTTCAACGCGCTAATTGTTGGCTTGTCTATCCTTCTAAGTTTGAACCTAGCCAGTTCGTTAAAACACATGATGGCCACCTTACGATGGTGGGTGTTGAGCTTAAAAGAATGGAGACCTCGAGAGGTCGGGACCCCAAACAAACTTTACTATAACTGCCCCTCAGGAGAAAACTATGTCTAACGTTACCTAGGTTGATCTCATTCTTCAGAGCGAAAATATTAGCCGTATGGTTCGGTTATTGTACCTCTCTGAACGATACACTCTTCGCTTTTATGTCATCGTCTGCGTACTCATCAATGTGGTATGCCACCTAGTAGGAACATGTATTGATCGATGAAACTCATGCTAACTTGGGTTGGGAGGCCGCTCAAATTGGACTCGCCTGTTTGGGTTTGACATACAATGTCAATGGCGCCGATAAGATTGTCCCGACGATCAACGGCATCGTGTCTATTCCAGACTTGACCAGCATTCAGACAAATAGAGTCTTATCCCAGCAGCAGCAGACACCGTCACAATTGCAGGCTCTGAATGCGCTCCGATTCACAGCAAACAAGTGCGTAGGATTCAACAGCCGCAAAACATGTCGAAATAATGCAACGGCCACTAATACAGCCCTGGGTTAATAGTTATGGAATGTCCGCCCTGGCGAGCGGCGTCAATTATCCTGTTTCTTTCAGCCCACCCACGCCCGGCACGCTGTATAACCCGGATACTATCGCCATAGGATGCGATAACACAACAGCATGCTACTCTACGTTTTATGAATCTACACCAGAGAATTTACCATACTACTTCATGGCAGCGACCAATCGCTCGATATCAACTACATCGAAATGCCAAGCTTTCAAGGTTACGCGAGGAGGAAGTGGCGACTTTGACAATATCACCATTGCCGACGCAAACAAGACGTCGTTTACATTGCCTACGAAGAATGGCCCCGACCAAACGACCTTTATTGTCGATCCTGTAAACGACCAGCATGTCGGATGGAGCGTTGTTTCTGCTTTCGAAGCATCTAGTTCCAACCCCTGGTTCTACAGATGCAATATTTCTGTAGGCCCAGTTGTCAATGCTGTCCTCGAGGTGCATCAACTCGGGGATAACATCAAACTAATGGCCCCGGCAGCAATTGCTCTGCAAGGTTACGGAGCATCCATGGGCACAAATCTCTCCAACCACATCCAGTTTCAAAGCTATCCCGCCGAGTCGCTGTTCGGGTCTCCCGCGGGCGGCGACACAGTTCTCATGGGGGTCCTCACGAGCATTTTTGCGTCTGGTGTGATCTGGACCACCACCCAAGCCAATACCAACATCAAGGCACTTGGTCGCGTGCCTGTCCAGGGCATCACGCTTGATATCAACAAGTGGGCCTATGTGCACCTTATTCTCGGTTTAATCATGGGCTTGCAGCTGCTGTTCGCTCTCATCTCCATAGCCTTGTCAAACCGGGTCATGGTCCGGGATCACAGCCATTTCGGCGAGGCTGCGCTCTTACGGTCTACCATGTACGATTTGAGCTACCGAGCCATCATGGCAAACGAGAGGGAAATCGCCAAGTTATTTCCCAAGTCGGCGACGATAAGATACGTTCGGGAAGAAAATGGTACATATCACCTCCGAGTATCAAACTAAACATTTCATCATGGTGCAAGGGCCATCTTTTTAGAACGGAGCATGTGGACAAAAGTCTTGTAGCATGAATTGGGTCAGCGTGAATATTTTCCAATCAAGCGACGTGTAGTATCTTATTATTCGATACCCAATATTCAATAGTATGAGGATCCACACCGTAGCCAGATATTCCAACCACTCCCTAAGATCAGTGACCAGTTTCCCACGATGAGTGTATCAACCAGTCCATCCTGCCAACTAACATCTATGCACAACGACTCCCCCTTGACAGAAATAACAGAGATGCTGATCGCCGCCCGGACGCCTGCGCACTCAAGGTGAACCTAGCTTTCCCAATCCGCCAGCGTTCTCCTCCTGCACATGTTCCCCCTCCATCACGAGCCGGTTCCCCGTCCAAAACACCCAAACTGGTCACAGCCCACCCTATCATACGGGGCCTGCCAACATATTTCGCCATCTGCCGCCTCCAGTCTTTGACAAATCTCATCAACCCCAGAATACTGTATCTTGTGCCTTTCTCCAGCGCCGTTTGTATCTCTCGGCGGACTTGCTGCGCAACAGTCCACATCTCCGCCAGCATCGCCTTCTGACGGCCAGAGCTATCCTCTGCGCGCCTAATACGTTTCCGCACGCGCCATGTCGCCTTTCTACCAAAACAATGGTGCGTAGATGAACACAGGTTAAGGGCTGTCTCTGATCGAAACCCAGCCGCTTCCCGCGGCGGGACAGACGTCGCCGAGGAAATAAGCGCAAGGGCGTGCAATAACTCCGTGAGCGTAGTCCCGCGGCCCCTACGGGCGGTAAACTTGAGGCTTGTCTTGTAAGGGGAGGGGCGGACCGGCGCCCAGTGAGCAGGCCGTGTCAAGCCGAGGGTTTGTAGTCGTCCCAGAGTGCCGCGGCCAGGTAGCGCGGGCTAATGGGGTATTTGGCGCTCGTGGCAGGAGGTGGGAAGGCATCGATGGCGGGGAGATTCAATATGCCGTCGTGTTAAGTATGTTTGCAGAGCTGGACGTCGTCGAGTTGTGTCCGTTAGCATTACTGTGAAATGCTCCGCGATCAAGCTATCCGTCTTTCCGAATTCGCCGGGTTTCAAATATTATTTGGACAAACAACTTGAAAGACTATTCTACTGTTTCTCCTTATTGGTAACTCTCCTTCTGAGTGCCACGTGCTGTAGCATGCCACGAAGCTGTTGTTCGAACAGTACTACGTCAGCTGCTCATGACAAGTGAGCCACCAAGGCTTCAAGAATTTCGTCAATTGCGCCAAGCGTGTGCCCAAGTACTCCTTGCAAATACGCCTTAGAGCAAAAAGTGAGGCAGAACAAGCTACATTGAATTGCACAGCATCTTGGCCTGTTCTCGAATGCATCCGACGGTAAGTACCTACGTGTGTTCCGACCAGGCTGCTACCGACTGATCCATACATGGCACGCAAATAGACACCGACATCCCGGCGTGGAATAATGAATAAGATTGATGAAACCGAACTAGTTTTTAGGTCGCCTTGCCCCAAACACAGGTCAGATTGATTTGGCTGACGAAACAACAAATTTGGTCGAGCGCGTTTGGGAATTTTGTAAATGACTGTCGGTCTCTAGGAAACTGATAAGGAAGTAGCAAACCTTTGCTCCATACTTAAGTACACATCAAACCTCCATCTGTTGAAATTTAGAGTTTCACGACAAGTTGCGACACCGCCAGTCAGCTCGCGAAATCAACAGCGACATGGGAGCGTCAAGAGTATAACGGCCGCCTCATGGTCAGTGCCAAATTCCTCACAATGTCTCAATTAGGGAGCTGCTGTAAGTTGCCCCCAGCCCCTGTCGAAATTGCTGAGAGGTGCAATGACTTGGCACATGAATAGCCTCGCTGGCCCTCGAGAGTTCACATGAGCCATTGGCACAGGCCCTCCCGGTATTACATATCCGGATACTTGGCGGCGCTGACTTGTTCGATCTTTCGCAAGTGACTCTTGGCTGTATCCGAGGTTCGCTTGTTTACGCCACTTCTAATACGGCTGAGCTTGGCTCTGGAAATATTGGCAGAGAGCCTCGCCAAGGCGGGTGGCTGCGCTCAAGGACGCCTTCAAAGATCTTGCCATCATCTCATGTGGCTGAATCAAGGAATAATTGTGCATCGTGGCTCAAAAGATACATCAACTTGGGGGTTGCGATGAGACCTTTGCAAGTACGGAGTACGGAGTAGTACTATGGTGCATTTCTGAGCATTTCCCACGTGCAGCGTAATGTCGATGTCTCACTCTGAGGAAGTCCTTTAAGGTCAATGCTGGCGACGATCAATCGCGGTGACTGCCGGAGATGTCGCGTAAACCTGAGTCGCATTTATCCACCAATCCACCCGGAAACAACCCAGCTGCGCCAGTTGATACTAACACACACCGCACCAGTGCGTCTGGCTGGACAAGCTTATCCTCAACCTTGACCAAGAAAGGTGTAGCGGCAGAAGTGGCTTGTGCCCGCAAATCCTCACCGTCGCGATCACAGTCAGCTTTTGGCAGGCTGGCTGACTTTCCTGCTGTGGCTAGCAGCCGTTTCCGTACATGGCATACCTTCGCCGCCCAGCTTGTCGAACACACATTTCCATAGCAGCTTATGCCAAGCCTCTCATTTGGGAAGTTAGCAGGAGGGCTTGGCTGATGTTTGTTTTCCCCACCGACTCCATATGTCGTTTCCTGCTCTTGGCCCCCCGCGATAAGCCAAGTTATGGATGGGCCTGGGGAACCTGGATCCTGGAACCTAGATGACTTCACCGAGGGGCAATTCGCGAGTAACATCCTTTCACCCACTGGCACTGTGGAGGACGATGATATGGGTCAGCCAATACAACAAAACCTCTGCACTATCAACAGCACTCCACGCTGTGGGGTCAAAGACGCTTGGTGATAAAAGCTTGTGGTGCGCCTCTTATCTCAAGCTTTTTCTTGGCCCTCCACTTGGTCTTCTAGAACTGCTTCATCGCGTTGTGGAGTTTTGGGGATCAGACTGTGGTGGTGTAGAGGAACGACTCGTGTCCAACACAAATCACCGGACAGAATCGTAGCATCCACGAAAACTCGCGCAGTATGCCCAGGTTGGGTGGTTCGTGTGAGAAGAGAAATGAATGGGACAGTTTTCCCCTCGGCTTGGCGTCTCGTCCCGTGACGGTGGTGGTTGGGAGTGGCTGATGTGGGATCGCCGCCAACAGAGCCATGGCCCAACAGTACTCCGTAGAAGACAAAGAATATTGCATGTCGCGCAACTACTACTTACAGTACTTACTTGAAGTTAGTATGCCTCGAGGTTTGTTCATGTGTTGGATACATACAAACATTGTCTTGGCGCGCAGATTGTCAACGTCTCTCCCATATTAGCTGGGCTGCAACGGAGAGAATGATGTTACACCGACCCATATGTCTGCAATCGGTCCACGTTTTGGCCATCCGTTTCAGTTCGTCAGCAAGCAAGGATAATGGCCCGTTGATAACAGTTGCGGAGAAGCTTGCCTCCAATCCCTCAGCTGATGGAGGCTTGGTTCACCTAAAGTGGCTAGCCCACTTAGTTGCCAACGGGTACTTCTTCATGTTGCTAGGCCCCCTATTACGAGAAAGAAAGCTGGCTTTGGCAAGGCTTGTTTGTCGAGGGCCTGTCGAAAATTCAGTCCGGGGTAAATAATGTTGCCTGGGGCCTGCCCTTGGCTGTTGGGCGATCTGTGGACAAAAAGCCTCCCCTTGAGATGGAGGGCCCCAATGACCTCTCCACCCACACCATGAACCGCCACTCTAACACGCGGGTTGCAAAAAAGGCCGCACACCTGTGTGTGTGGTTGTAGGTGCGGGGTGTGCGGCCTTTTTTGCAACTCGCGTGCCTAATCACGACTACGCAAATCAGGCTGCCAGGGTTGCTTGGTTTCGTCCGACCCCTGGTTAGCTTTCGACCTTTCCAGCCTTGCAAATATTATCCGTGTGCTTCGTCCGCCTCCGTGCTACTCATTCTAGCACAGGCCGTGTTGACGATAGACGCAATTCAAGGACTTGTCTCCACGACTTGTGGGTTAGTGTCCGGGGTTCATCTTGGCCAACGTGGCCATGTATTGTGTGTATTGTGATAGGAAGAGGAGGGCTCACATCTCGCATGGGCGACCGAGTATAAATACTAGAAGAATGCGGATGGCCTACCCAATCATCCAGGTGTGCCACCCCAAATTCTTCTAGCGAGGTGTGGTTTGGACTTTGTGCCTGCACAAGGTTGTGAGCCTTGGTGATCTGGTCCTTCAGCCGCACTGTCTAGGTGCGTGGAGGTTATCAGCAACAAGAAGCAATACCTTGTTCGTTAGCCTCACCGGAAACCCTTGCACTGCAGCTGCTGAGCGCAGCATTTACTTTGGCAGGAGCCACCAAGGACTACTAAGGTTTCCCCTCCTCACGCGACTACTTCGTTTTTGCATTGACCTGTTCACATATTTGATTCTCCCTTCAACGTCGCCGTTGCAAGTCCTGGGAACCCTTCTTCACTCCACCATTAGCCACGCATCGATACGCGGCCCAACCGTTGTCATGAATTCCGAGGGTATTTATGCCCGTCCGGGCAAGGGCGATGGCAATGGGAGCGATCCTGAGAAGGCAAGCATTCGGCACAACCAGTACGACAATGTTGAGATTCGTGGTTTGGAGACGTCGCCCGACACCATGCTTCACAAGGGACTCAAGGCTCGTCACATCACCATGATTGCCATTGGTGGTGCTCTTGGAACTGGTCTCATTGTCGGAACTGGTAAGGCTCTTGCGCAGGCCGGGCCTGGGTCTCTCTTCATTTCCTATACCTTTGTCGGCTTGCTCGTCTTCATGGTCATGGCCGGTCTGGGTGAAATGGCTGCCTGGTTGCCCTTGAGCTCTGGTTTCACAGGCTATGCCACCCGATACTGTCATCCTTCTCTTGGATTTGCGCTTGGCTGGTGGTAAGTTTGCTCGCCTTCGCTTTGGCCCGTCCCTCTTTGGTTCCATGACGGCATTCTAAAGTCAATTGGTGTATATACACTGACGCCAACCCTCAATAGCTACTGGATGAAGTACATTATTGTGACCCCAAACCAGCTTACGGCCGCTTCGCTCGTCATTTCTTTCTGGGTACCCCGCGAGAAGGTTAATCCTGGCGTCTTTGTCGCCATTTTCCTCGTCGCCATTGTCTGTATCAATTACTTTGGAGGAATCAAGTTCTTCGGCGAGTTTGAATTCTGGCTGTCCTCGTTCAAGGTTATTGTAGTGATTGGCATAATTCTTTTCGCCCTCATCATTGCCTGCGGCGGCGGGCCGAACCATGATGCCAGTGGCTTCAGATATTGGAGTGACCCTGGCGCTTTTGCGCAGCTATACAAATCTGGTCCTCATGGTGCCCTTGGCAAATTCTTGGGATTTTGGTCTGTCATGGTCAACGCTACCTTTGCCTATCTTGGAACTGAGCTCGTCGGTGTAACTGCTGCCGAAGCCCAGAACCCGCGTCGATCCATTCCCAAGGCTATTAAGCTTACCTTCTACCGTATCTTGTTCTTTTACTGCCTCAGCGTTCTGCTCGTGGGCATGATTGTTCCTTACAACCACGAGAAGCTCGCATTTGCCAACAAGCAAACGACCGGAGCCAGCGCCAGTCCTTTCGTCGTCGCCGCCACTATTGCCGGTGTCTCTGGCTTGCCTCACATTATTAATGCTTGCATTTGCGTCTTTGTCTTTTCTGCCGCCAACTCGGATCTTTACATTGCAAGCCGAACCCTTTACGGCCTCGCTAGTGATCGCTCTGCCCCCGCCATCTTCCGTCGCACTGACAGCCGGGGTGTTCCCGTGCCTGCCCTCGCTGTCGGTACCGCGTTTGCTTGCTTGGCCTTCATGGTTGTTTCCGACGACTCCAAAAAGGTCTTTGGTTACTTTGTGAATCTGACCACCATCTTCGGCCTCCTGTCTTGGATCTCCCTCCTGGTCACTTACATCTACTTCCTAAAGGCTCGTCGCGCACAGAACATTTCTGACAGCGTCATGTCTTATGTCGCTCCTCAGGGTCTCATTGGAACGTACATTGCTCTTTTCTTCTGCATTCTTATCCTCCTCACCAAGAATTTCGATGTCTTTATTCACCATGACGGCATAACTTTTGATTACCAAAACTTCATCACTGGTTATCTGGGCGTCCCTTTGTACCTGATTCTTCTATTTGGACACATGATTGTTACTAAGAGCCGAGGAGTAGGGGCACACGAGGCCGACTTTTACGCCGGGAAGGACATCATCGATCAGGAGGAGAATGACTTCTTGGATCTTCAAAAGGAGAAGATCGCCGCCAGCACCGGATGGTCCAAATTCTATAACCGCTATGTATCATGGTTGTTTTAGACGGAACTTGCGAGGCTGTATGTATTGGATGAACGTGCATGAATTATTTACGACTTGGCATGATCACACGGCAGTAAATACCAGAAGTTTTACGTCTTAACGGCTCTTGCATCGTTGTCAGTTTTCCAGTGAAGTCTACCATGCCATGTCCAAAAGAGGATGCATCAACGGGTCCCGCTGACAGCTCTCAAGTCACGTCCATCTTTTCGGTATACACAACATTCCACACTCAGACCCTTGGCTACAAAAACAGTACAGCGATTGATGTCTCTTCTGCCGAGTCCAAATCCAGACCACAGCCAGAGATTTTACAAGGGTCGTCATGTCCCATCCCGGAGCGTTGTCTATGTTTTGTATACCATGCAATCCGGCCCACTGCTTATCTACGCACGCTTTCTCACGGCCCCTAGGCAGACCGAGACCTCCGCTTATAGTGGGGGGTGATGGGGGTTGCATTGAAGGGGCTATCAAGAAAATTCGGTCCCCAGTTGCAAATTGATGATAACGAACAGTCATGCGAATGACAATGTTTGTCATTGGCATTAGCAGATATATTTGCGCATAAAGCGGTGTCTACTTGGATCACGCATCAAGCCGGTGGGCCTTTTTGGAAAATAGTGATGGAGTGATTCACAAGGCTGTTTCAACATGCAAAACTAATTGTAGAAGGCTCCCGAAGGAAGGGAATCTATTCTTCTATCATTACCCGCGCCTCTCGCGAACCTCTATGCTCGGGTATTATAAACCACATCAAGACGTCAAAATGAAACAAAAACCATAAACCCATTTTTTTAAACCTCCCTAACGCCGGTGCTGAAAAATGCTGCAAAGGTATAGCTCTCTCCTCTGGGGTCGTGTTCTTGGCAGAGCTAATATAGAACGCCGTTTCCAAAGATTTGTTCCCCTTCGACAAATGAAAAAAGGCCCCCGGTTCTAAAAGATTTTCGTACACTGGTGCGGAGAGATCATTGTACACGGAAGATGAGCGCGTCGTGAAGCGGTCGAGGGGGCAATCGATCGCAGATTACAGGATGGCTCGCTGGCGGGCCTTCTCCTCGGCGAAGACGATGCGGCTCATTTCCAGGACGCGCTCGAAGCCCTCGCGGCCCTTGACGGCGTTCTCCTTGAAGCGCGTCACGAGGGTGTCTTCAATGCTGTTCTTGATTCGCTGCCAGCCGCCGCAGAGGGCGGTGATGCGCGCCGACTGCTGGAACTGCGTCTGGTGGTTGCTAAGCGGGGTGTAGGTGACTTCCTCCTGGACGTTGACGAGGTTGCTCCACGTGAGGTTCTGGCTGACCATGGTGAGGGTCTTGCGGGCCGGGTCGACGTAGGACGCCTCGAAGACGTAGCTCACGTCCATGGAGTTGCCCATCAGGGTCTTGAGCCAGTCGGGCGCCGACTGCTTGCAGGTGATGAGGCGTTCGGTGCGGAGGATGCCCGTCTCGGGGTCGACCGTGCGGGAGAGCGTGTCCACGGCGATGACGTGCTCTGACTTGTTGTTCCATGGGCCGTACTTGCGCCAGTTGGCGGTTGATACTTCGTCCCAGGAGTAGTTGTAGGTGACGGCGTTGGAGAAGACCTTCATTGTGGATTGGTGGTGTATGTGGTAACGTTCGAGTGCTGGTGTCCTTTTGGGGAGGGAGGAGCTTTTATCGCAAGTCTAAGAAATCCTCTGTAGACTGGTTGTGAGTTGTGCGCGAGTCCAATCCGATTGTTGATGGCGCCGAGCTTGTGACTCAATCTGGTACGCGTAGTCGTCTCGTGACAATTAAGTCTATGCCTGAAAAAAAGAAAGGACGACTCGCCGAACAAAAAGAGAAAAAAAGCAACGCTCACGATCGTAGATGTGCCAAACAAAAAAGGGCGAACAGACCGTGTAACGACTGGTTGCTGAACGTTGATGAAACGAGGTTTTTTTTTCTTTCAGGAGAAGAAACGTCCGAACTGGCAGGGGGGCGAAGAGGCTGTACATAGATAAATTTGCCTGAGGTGCCACACATGTGAGAGGCTTTAACCTCCGCCCGGCCTACTTCGGAGCGTGCACGCGTGCAGACCAGTTTTTTTTGCTGTGCCACAGTCGCTCGCTATTCCTGTTTGGGGTCGCACTAAACCCAATGTGGGTGGTTTTGTCTTGGTAGCGCGATAAAGCACCGGGAGCAGAAATTTTACTCCGCGGCCCTGATTGGCTCGGGCGTCTGGAGGCTTCAGAGGCCGAAACGGTTTGCCCGTGAACGGCGGCAGAAGATAAGCAGCCCGGCAGTCGGGCTGCGTGCGGAGACAGCTTAGTTTCTGGAGAAGCTCGGGGTGGCAAGGGCGGAGGAAGTTGCGAGATCTGAAAAACGCACTTGATGGCTGGGTCACGGCATCCGGTAACGGTCGTTTTGTCAAGTTGTGCTATATCGGGATTATCGGAGAGCTAATTTCTCGCGAGGAGGTTGTCAAGTGCACATAGATTCTTGGAGCGCTGCCTTCAGTTATTGTCTCGCGGCCAGTGTCCCCCAGGCCCGCTGTGATGTGTGGTCACTGGATGACCTCGGCGTTGCGGTTTTTGCCAAGGGAGGTTGCAGCCTACATGAAACGTCCTCCACTTCGGCTTCATCGCAAACACCGACTGTAGCCGCGGGTATAACCAACATCATCCGTAAGGCTCTCACCTGGCATCAGTACGGGTTTGAGTTGCGCTTGGTCAACTCCATCATGGTTTAACAAACAGGACAGTCTTATTTCAGATGCTATCTTATGTCTGAAGATTATACAGCTTAGTAGTCGTCTCCCCGGCTGATGACCTCTTTCACGGTTGGCCGAATCAAGATAGTCTTGTCCGTTGTTAGCATACACGGCGCAAGAATTGTCTTGTAGAGAGTTGCAACTTACGTGCTCGAATTGAGCAGTATACGAGCCCTTCTTGTCACACAAGGGCGGGTAAGCCTCGACAATGCCGCTGTTAACCAAGCTGTTCAACTGCACCACAGTTAGCGCCCGCATAAATCACGTCAACGTCAAAAAGAAATAGGCTGCACTCACCCCGAGCAAGTACTTGTCCTGGCCCAGGCGGTCCAGGTAGCGACGGCAGAAAGGCAGGGTGCCAAAGTTCTTGTTAATCACGTTGAGCAGCGTTTTGGCTGAGCTCAGGCGAAGGTCCACGTGCTGGACGTCTGCGTTCTTGGCGTAGTGGGAAACCTCCATGTCGTCTCTGACGTAGCCGTTACCGGTACTCCCAAAAGTCTCGATAGCAAAGACATCACCTTCTTCCATCTTGGTCTGGTCGTTGCTCTTGACAATAGGCACGGCCTTGGTACCGTGAATGCTGTAAGGCAAAATGTTATGGCCCGTCAGGTTGCGGATACTCTTTACGGGGTATGTAGTGCCGTCAATCTCCACCTCGAAGCTCTCCATGGTCTCCTGAATGACGCCTCCGATTTCACCGACGCGGGCATCAATACCCGCCTCGCGGATACCAGCATTTGTGGCTTCCTTGACAGCCTGGAGCAGGTTGTCGTATTTGGACTCAAAGGCCACAGTAAAAGCAGAGTCAACAATTCGGCCATTGACGTGAACACCAAAGTCTACCTTCATAACATCATCCTGCTGCAGAACCATCTTGTTGCCAGCATTGGGCGTGTAGTGTGCAGCGCAGTGGTTCAAGCTGAGGCCACACGGAAAACCCATACCAGCAACCATGGCATCGCCCTCAGTTAATCCAGAGTGGCCGGTGAGAGATCTGACACTATTTTCGATGGTTTCGGCAATTTCAGTCAAGGTCTGGCCGGGTTTGATGGACTTCTGGGCATATTGGCGAACCTGTCTGTGAATCTCAGCGGCCTCTCGGTAATCGCTCAGGAACTCCGTATTCAAGTTGTCCAAATGGCGTTTTTCCTCATCGGTAGTTCGGTAACGGTTCTCGTCTATATATTCGACTTCCTCGCCCCTGGGATAGCTCTTGTTGGGGAATAGCTGGCTCACCATGACGCTAGGTGGCTCCGTCTGGGTGGTAGGGTTCTTCTTCTTCTTCTTGGGCTTTCTCTTCTTCTTCTTTTTAGCAGCTCCAGTTGCTCCATCGGCCCCGATGCCGGCAGCATTCTCCTCGGCGTCGTCGTCAGAATCCTCTGCGTGGTCGTCGTCGTCGCCGGCAGGTGCAGGCTTTGCGCCCTTGCCATTTGCCTTTGCGGCGTCATTCACTACAGATGGAGCTCAAGGTTAGTCATAAAGTTTGCAGTGCAAACACTCAAACAATTTTTAATGTACCTTTCAGCTCTTTCAGAGCGTCGGTGGGAACTTGGGCTGCCATGCTAACGACGTTTTTGTTCGGTGAAGTGGGGAGAGTCGATCAACATCGCACTCGAAAAAAGTTGATTGATGACCTTAATGCCCGACGTACCCCGCCACTTTACATTGGCAGTAAGCGACAAAAATAGTCGAACACGATTTTTGGCCCAATTTGCCCCACCCCAAGACTGACCCGTACAATTCATTTTTGTCAGCAAGCGCTCTGTAACAAGTTTCACAATTAACATTGCGCAACAGATGTCATCAGCGACCTCTCCTCCATTCCTTGTTGAAATCTCTAGGTCGTTTATCTCACTATGAGAAGATGTATACATGTGACGACAGATGCCAACCTGCTAGGCTCCTAGGTAGGTTTGTAAGTTTGAGCACGTGTCTAGCGAACGCGAACATACAGAATCAATTTAAAGAATGGCATTCATGTAGTTGACATCACGGCCGTATGGAATGCTCTGGATCAAATCCTGCAACTACACTAGCTAGGCACTTCGGGTCTAATAGTATTGAACAGCGAGCGACTTTTGTATGACCTTCGTCCCTCCAAACTGACATCACAGCTCCATATGTGGGGCCAGGGACGTGGGGTTGATGGGTGCCGTGAGGTTGAGCGCCAGTTCCAACAACCTCGGAGTACTTCCTCTTCCTCAAAATCCCGGTATTTGTTTCGGTCGTATACCGTCTCAAAATGGACACTCAGGTCCAAAAATTAGTCGAAAAAGCATGGGACAGGTATCAACAACTGGCACCTGGACAGAGGCTGTGTAAGCTCACTCCCAAGCTTAAGACTCACTCCCACATCCTACACGAAGCCTATCACCAATGACTGACATGATACGCTGCGTTGGACAGTAATTGGCATCGGGGGTATCCCCGGATCAGGTAAGACATCAACAAAAAAAAAGAGTTAGCGTCATTCGCATGTTTGCAAACCGTTAACATCTCAGGTAAAACAACACTCTCACAAGTCGTCTCTAAAAGACTCAACGAATATGCCGCTGAGACCTCCACCAACACTCCTCCGCCAACAACATACGTTCCCATGGATGGCTTCCATTTCACCCGGGACGCGCTCTCCGCCATGCCGGATCCTGCCAATGCTCACGCCCGTCGCGGCGCAGCATTCACCTTTGACGCGGCCAAATTTCTCACCTTGATCCAGAAGCTTCGGGAACCGATATCGGCGCAACCCATTCTTGCACCATCATTTGATCATGCTGTCAAAGACCCCAAGGAGGACGATATAGCCGTATTACCAACGCATAAGATAGTCATTTTGGAAGGCAACTATCTCGCGTTGGACAAGGACGTCTGGCGGGACGCCGCTGCATTATTTGACGAGTTGTGGTTTGTAGAGGTGGAATTCGAAGTTGCGAGGAAGAGATTAAGGGAGCGACATGTCCGAGCGGGGATAGTCAAGACGATAGAAGAGGGGGACAAGAGAGCGGTTGAGAATGATCTCGTGAACGGAACAGAGATCATGACACAGCGGCTGAGGGTAGATGAGGTTGTGCGGAGTGAGGAGGACGGATCATGGGTTCATGACTGACGACGTTGAAGAAAGATGTTTTGTGTATTACCTAGACATTTTTGCTCATCATGATAGCTAATCTGAGAATAAGACGCTGCACAAAAAAACCCAAAGATTTGCTGCAAATCGCAATACGCTGGCTGTCGATGCTCAAGACCCATTCCTCGTTGTACTCGTTACGCCTCTTCAGCCTCCTTCGACTCGCTCAGCTTCCTCATCTTGCTAGCCATGGTCAGCCCCGTCCCCTTCCTCGACTGCAACGCCTTCATCCACGCGTCCTGGTCTTTGATCGGGAGCTCCTGCGCGCTCAGCCCCAGCACCTCCATGAGCTCTGGAATCTCGGCGTGGTCGCGCGTCGTCCTCATCCGATGACACCAGGTAACTCTCTTCTCCTCCACAGGTCCGTCATCTCCGCGATCTCTGCTGCCGCTGCTCGCGCCCTGGATCGACCCCATGGCCGTCGGCCGCTCGTCTTTAGGCGTCGTGATGGGCGTGACAATATCAAGTGGCTCAAAGAGGAACTCGCCGCCCACCTGACGCTGGTCTCCGGACTTGAGAGACAATCCCTTGGGGAGGACCCTGAGTCCCTGGCCGATGCTGTCCAGAGTGCTCCTCCACATACTCTTCCTCATGTACGCGGGCTTGGAGCCCAGCGCAAGCGTCTTGGTCATGCCGAGCGCGTCAAAGAGTGCCCGTGTGGGGTCGGTGTATAGCGGGAATGGGCAGTTGGTCGCCTCGATGTACATGTTGATGAGGGCCGGGTCGCCGCATCCCACGACGACGATGAAGGTGCTGACGGGGAGTTGGAGGAGGGCCTCGGGGGTAATTGATTCTGAGAGTGTTCGAAGGTATTCCTGGCAGTTCTGTACCTTGGGGTTAGCAGCTATTGGAGTCGCAGAGAAAAAAAGATGTCGAAAAGCCTACGTACGCCACAGAAGAAGTGTCGGATGAACACCACCAGCACCCGTCTCGCTACATTGTTCCCACTATACAAGCTCTTGAATGTCTTGGATTTGCCGTCTCGATCAAGGACAATGTAGTCCTCTATTTTCCTGATCGTTTCGGGCGAGGGCAGCACGTTGTTAGTGGCAACCTCGCCGTCAAAGTCCTCTGGTTTGGTCTTGTCGATGTCAACCGCCGGCTGGGGCTCAGAGGCAGGAGCGGCAACTTGATCAGCTGGAATTGCAGGTCCTACAGCAGCGGTTGTAGGGCCATCATTGGCCATTTTCGATTCTTTCTTCTCGGTCGCAATGTCGCCCTTGGGAGTCGGAGGTGATGGGGCGGCAGCCCGCGTCACTGATGCATCTGGAGCAGTATCGTGCTGTTCCCTGGGCGGGGCATCGGTTGGCATACCGGAACCTGCTGTGGAGGCCTCCATTCTTTACTGATCCCTTGTGCTCGACACTTTTTGCGCGTAAGGAGACGAGGTGACCGATGTGCCGTAGAGAGCAGAAAGAGAGGTGAAATCGGTTCCAAGAATTAGGGGCTCTGAAGGAGCTGTCGGTTTCTCATATGTGTGGTCTGACTGTCAGAGCTTGAGGTGTGAAGCTAGTTCGTTCCAAGCCAACAAAGCGCAAGTCGACCAACGGCAGTGTGGCTCAGGGCCCGATGGTGGCTCAAGGAGTCAAGGTTTGAACCCCAGACCAGACATGAATCAATACTCGACTCTGACCTGATACCCCTGACCAAACAAACAGTGCTGTCGGCTCGCGCCAGCGGGCTCAGCTGTGGCAGGTCGAGATTTGATGTTTTTGTCCAAGTAAACCTCAATGTACAATGGTGTCCCAAAGCCCTCTGCTCCGTATAGGGGTGGACGCTCGCCGTGGCCGTCGCTGTCACCATCTCGGCCTCAGCCGCACCAACTTATGACTCCCCAACACCTGCATTTCTCTTTCTATTTTGCTCTTTTCTTTCAACATATCCATCATGACAGACATTTCCGAATCTCTGGTGGCATCGCTAGCCGAGACTCTCGACGCAGCTGGGGCTTCATGCATCCTCTGGGGTCAATTCCTACTCAATGTCCATGGCATTCCATCGACCATTGGCGTATGTATTCCACTCCATGTGACCAAGTTAGACATTGGGCTAAATTTGAGCCAAGTCGATAGACTTTATTGTTCCCGGGTCCCGTTTAGCTGAAGCTATACAAGCGCTTGAAAATGCCAGAAACCTCGCGCATTGCCCAGACAAAGATGCATGTCCCTGGAGCCCCCAGCGCCGGAAAGCAATGGAGCCAGTTTTTCACATGCATCTCGGGAACTCTGCCCGGACAGTTACTTTATACACCCATTGTCAGATTCTCTGGTTTCTGCCACAAATGAATAGTCCTTTACCGTCCTCAGGGCAGCAGCAGCTGGAACTGCCTCAGCATCTGACGCTCGCATCCAGCTCGGCAGACCTCCCGCCACACAGGCCAGGTCGTGGGTCTGGTTTCTTCACGACAGTCGAGTATCCCGTCGTCGTCTTAAGACTGCATGTTCTGCTGGACACCTACATACGACTATATTTACGCGACAGAAAGAGGCGAGATGGTGCCTACGCAAGGCATTCCATCAAACTCCTGACGCCGTGTATCGATGACGAGGAACTTCCTGGTTCACGGGAGATTTCAGATCGCATCAAAAGATATTACAAAACCCTGGCAAACGGAGACGAAATTATTCTTGGACGTAGTGGCATGTAGCTCTGGTTTCACGGAAAGAGCTCGCCCGCGACTATATACCAGCATTGAAGATTTTCTTCAGCAATTACTATAAATAGGAGACATATTTTACTCCCAAGTCCGGATTCCTCTTTCTGTTTTCCCATCATTTTTAGGCTTTTCCGTGAAGGCTATCCGTCTCACCACACATTGCGGAAGAAGTAATACCCTACCAACTCGCCGCTACGAAAGCCTCACCCGAAATTGGAAAACGGCAAAGGAAAGCTGGGGCATGTCATACACAATCTTCACGGTCACACTTGGATAGAGACGGGAACGCCATGCCCGCGACTGCTTACCCCGGGGCAGCATCACGAAGGGCATGGCAAACAAATGTGGGTTTTCCCTCCGCGTTTTATTCACCTCGATACAAAACTGCCAAAACAAAAACACACGACACTGCCGTGGATACTTCTCAAAAATAGCACACCCTGATCTGCATAGCGCAACGAGGACTAGCCAGAGTGTCCGCTATTGGCCCGATCTTGCAAGCGCCTACTTTTACTTGTCCTTCTTCTGGCAGGTTCCCTGATACCGTCTGGTCAGTGTTCTGACGGCCTTGCAAGCAAAGGCTGTTCCAAGACTCACCTCATTCTTCGTCTCCCACACAAGGCAGTATCCGGTGCAGCAGATCTAGACGTTGGTTAGCAGCCGACATTTTTCTCTACCACAAGGGATTTATAACGTACGTCCTGGCGAGTACACGTTTCACCTTCTTTCTGTACAATCTCGTTTAGTAAGGTTTCGTATGGTGAGGCGGAAGAGGTGCTGTTCTTACCTTGCACTGCTCGTCTCGAGGAGCAAAATCCACGTTGGCCATGGCCACGGCGGCAAAGAGGGCGGTGGTGAATACAGCGACGAACTTCATGGTGGCGAAGAAAGGAGACTGAGTCTTTGAAATTGATGAGTGTTTGAAGTGTTTGAAGTGATGGGATTGGAAATGATGCTGAATGTGCTTGGTTGCTTCTGCCCAGGAGGAGGACAAGCGGCCTTACTTATAGCTGCCATGCCGTGCTCACTGGCCGTGCCAGCGCTGAGTATTCCGACTGATGCTGGCGACAAAGACGCATCATGCTTGGCTCTCCTGCTCCGAAAGTTGTGGCAAATGTCGCCGTCTTTTGTGTCCTGATTGTTTGACGTCACGTAGATTTGGCATTCTGATACAGTTGGTACAAGCGGTGCCAAACAAGAACCCTTCCGCGGGGTCGTAGCGAATTCGCATCGAGGCCTACGTATTGTCCTGTGCGCCTGTTGGTTCTTAGAATCCCAGACGGTGTTGTTTTGCATTTCCGTCGTAGTCGAGTGCCGCAGCTCATCTTGGCAATCGCATGGTCAGGTCGCATGAACATGATCCAACAAACGACCCAAGCTCGAACCAACCCCTTGGCATTTCGCCCATAGACGGCTAAATGCTTGCCCTAGTTTCAGATCTTTCTGGAAGATGGCGCATCGTGGTAGCAAGCCAGTCTTGCCTCAGGTGTATCATGTATGATATCACATCGTGGGGCCATCGGAGGAAGATTGCGGAATGCTGTTGTTTTCCTCTCTGGGGAACTCCTGTCTCTCCTAAAATGGGTGTTCTCTTTTGATATGTTTTGTCCTGTTTTGGGTACGTATGAATTTCCTTCTAAAATGCGAAGCTACGGTTGTTATACTGGACATTACTACAATCAACATGACAGACCTTGTCTGTTCGGCGTAGTGCCTCGGGTGTAAGGGACGTTTTGGGCATTCCGTGTCCTTCAATTCCATTTCCACTGCATCATCTGTTTGCTCATTACGGCACACTAATCCTCCCTTGAACTAGGTCGCTTTTCACATGTTGTTGGCCGGTTGGCATATTCCGGAACCGATGCTTTGTGTTTGTCGCAGACTAATCGATGACACACCACGGTGCTCCCAGTCCTTGGTCTGTATGTCTTCAAGATATGCCCAACTTTAAAAAAAGATGGCAGGGACACCTTTCTCCAGGCACTCCAAATTTGCGAGGTTGTATATTCGCCATTCGCCATCCGCACAAAGTTACTCGGCCTGTCTTCCAAGGTACGACGTTCACTTTGAAGCCTCTTCTTCTCCTCGAAATGCTCATGCTTCCCTCATTCTCTTAGCCATTCTTTGTCACCTCAGATCAATTCCTCCAGTCTCTTATTTACTTGGCACTTCCATTTGTGGAGATGGGCTGCGACACGTACCTACATATCTGCATATAAACTCTACAGCCAGTTCATTTAACAAACACGAACGATTAGAGTGCAAAGTTGAGGGTAGGAACAGAAACGTGTAGGCAACGTTTTGTATGCAGGCTTATGTAGCAGTAAGTCAAGCAGTAGAGCCCTCTCACGCGTTGGGTATAGTTTAGAGGATATTATCAAATATATTTTCCTAGCTTCAGAGTGAAAGCACAAGATATTCCTTCAAGATTTACGAGATTGGGTGTCCAGTCTTTATAAGCGAGCAGCCGCATTTCGTCCTCTCCGCCTCGAATTAAAAAAAAAACACTGTCAAGTCAATGGCATGGAAACCATAGCCATCTGCACCTGCAAGCTACAGCTATAGTTGTGCTTAGCCTTCTTCTCCCGTCTCGCTCCCCAGCCATCACAGACGCTCATGCCCACCGTCCAATCAAGGCCATAATGCCACACCCAAGGTACAGCGAAACAAGCATAAGCGCCAGACGCTTCTTGTTATTGGTACGGTTCGGATTGAAGAGGAAATCTCGCGCGAGCATCTCCACCAGCCCGGTGTAGACGAGAATCCCAGCCGAGATGGAGTCCAGCACGCCAGAGACCACATTGGCAGTGTACGAACTGCCGCTGTAGGTACTGTGCAAGCCTAGGCCGATAGCAATGGAGATGGGCGTCGTCAGTCCGTAGGCCAAGCAAAGCGCCCAGGGCAACCACCTCCACCTCGTAGGAATGGGGATGACGCTGAGACGAGCGCCGATACCCAGGCCCTCGAACGACTGGTGGAACACGAGGACGGGGAAGAGGGTGTTGAAGTCGTCGCCCCCGGCCACGCCAAGGTTGAGGCCGATGATGACGCTGTGGAAGATGACGCCGAACTCGAGCACCAGAAAGGCCGAGATTTGCGACTGGAACGCGCGGTGGATTTCCTCCGAATCGCCAGAGAGATGCTTCAGCTCCTCCAGGTCGCTGCCTTGCTTCTCGCTCTTGACCGCCGCGGGCACGAGTCTCGCGCTTTTCGGATGGTCATCTTGGTCCGCCGAGTGCAGGTGTAAGTGGGAGCCATGTGCGCCGTTGCCGTCAGCCCCGGGTGCGTCGGTGATTATATTTTCAACCGCCGCGTGGACGAGCCCGTACCGCTTCTCGACGTAGTACTCGGCGAGGAAGTCCAGGAGGAAAATGACCATGGCGGACGACAGGGCAATCGCCGGCGGCCAGGAGTACGTTGACCATCCCCCCGTCAGGCCAACGCAGGTATTGGGGCCGATGGCACTGTAGGCCGGGTCAAGAAGATGCACAAACGCGGTTGCGATGATGACCCCGGCGCCGAAATAGCGAGCAAAGAGATAGACGGACAGGGGAATCTTGAGGCGCCGGATACGGGTTGCCAGGACGGGGAAGAAGGTCACCGCCGTCGAGACGACGAGAATGACAAAAATAGAGGCAATGTGCAAGCCCAGCCTGTCGTCGTAGGCATTGCCACTGCCGTTCAGGTAGCAGATGATGTCAACTAGAGGAGTGTTGTCCAGGTCGACCGAACTGGCGTTGAAGGAAGAGCCAGCGTCGGCCATGTTGGGCGATCCGCGATCAGGGGAAAGAAGTGAATACCTTTTCTGCGCGTGCTCTACGTACGGAAGAAACCAAAAAAACCCAAACAGGACTTACCAGTTATATAGACGCAATCTGAGAAAAAAAAAAAATCTCTTCTTTGATCATTAGAAGCATACTTCTCCAGCACAGGAGGAGGATCGGGGGCAAAACTGCACAACAGTGAGGTATCGAAGCATCTAGTATTGCGTCTTAGGAACAGCAATATGTTAGTGTGTACTTGGAGATAACAAGGGGCCTGGGTCTGGTATTCTTTTGGGCATCACGAGTGAGAACCTCTATGGTGTAGTGGCTTGCGCGAACGTACAAGGCCTTGCCAGTTCTCCAATCAGGATAACGGTCTGGGCTGCGGGTTCGGAAGTTCGGCACGGCCCAAATGCATTCAAGGTGCAGGTAATTACAGCTGGCTGTAAGTAACAGGACGAGTTGGCATACGGCCATGCAATCAAGTTGGTCCTGCCGCCATTGTACTGTGCCGGGAGGACAGTGCTTGACATGAGACGACCCATATGCCGGATCACGCGGCTTTGTCTACAGGATTTCTCTGCGAGGCCAAATTATGACACATCAGATATATCCGTTCTGGTGTGTCCTTGCGAGACGGTGCATTCAGGAAAGTGTCCATTAGTTCATTTCGTTGCTTGACAGAGCTGAGGCTGCAAAGAGACTTCAAAAAGCAAAAATGCTGACTTGTTGGAAAAAGAAAACAAAAGAACAGAAAATAATAGTGCCTTCTCGAGACTGGGGAGACAAGAAAGACGTGAATAGAAAGACAAATGTGTGACAAAATGAAGGCGTATTCAAATTAAAGCTCTCTCCTTGACGAAGGAAGCATGCAGCTCTGATCTACCATGGATACCTGAATGGGCGGTATTAGTTGAACGTGATATTCTTGTCTGTTTTATTTTCTTTCTTTCTTTCTTTTTTTTTTAAAAGTTTAGGGGCAGTATAATAATCAAGCTTACCTACTCCGTACAGTTGTCATCTGATGGCGTGAAGAAGGAAAATTGACTGCTGTCATGCCCGCGACAGACCATCCCACAAATGTTGCGGCTCTTAAAGCTCTGGCCAGCTGGTTTCAAAGCCTCGTCCCCCATGCCAAGAGCTGTTGGTCTCGACAAGCCTATCTCTTCTTGGGTGTATATGCCAGTGTGTGGCCACCGAAATCTGCCGAGACGACTCGCATTGGTCGTTCTGATTGTGTCCTCTTACCCAAGCACAGAAGCCAACGGCCCATGGTCTCCGGCTTGTGAAGCAAAGTGATGGTATCGGAGCCGAGATTAGCCTACGCTCTCGTTAGAAGGATGTAGAAAAGTTGCGTCCATTGATCCTAGTATGAGGGGATAATATAGTTCCAGAACGTTTCTGTAGGATGAAAGGGCCTGATGCAGGCATGGCCCAAAGCTTCACAACACGTCATGAGAGAATCGAACAAGGAGAATGCTCAATATACAAGCCGGTGATGCAATGAGAGCACGGATATATTATTCATTTTTACGCCCTCCTTGTTATAGTCTCTGTGTGGGCTGAAGTAAAATTGCCCAACCCTAGCGTCCGCTTGAGACATCTGCAGGTCTCACAGGACAATGGATCAGCCACAATGATTCGGCATCACGGTGCAATGCACATTGCTATGATGCTATCTGTTGAAAGTGGTCCAGATGGATTCACGTGCTCAGTTTCAACAGACGTTACTTCTAAGGCAGAAAATATTTCTAGTCAGGGACTGTCGAAAGCTTAAAACAGGAGAATGAAAAATTACAAAAATTATACTCGAGGCTCTTTGCTTACAATTACTGCATTGAGCTAGCGTGTCTGCAACGCAGGTCCAGACTCCAGCTAGCAACCTGTTACCTCTGGGGCGGCAACTGCCGCGCATTTTATTTTAGACTGTAATTCGCTTTTGATTGATTTTGGTATACAGAAATTAACTAGGCTGTAATGAACAGACTGGAGGACACTCCATTACTATGCGCCGACTAGTTGGTGCATCACAAGTACAAGGTACAACCAAGTGTTTAGCCCGGTGGGGCCAAGAAACAGAAACCTCGCCGCAAAAAAACTTTCTCATTCACGCGCACCACCACCATGGACGACGAAGACAACGGCATTCTCAACATTGAAATCTCCGATGACGAAGTCGACGTCGCCAAGAACAAGGCCGACAGGACCGGTCAGACGGAGGCGAATTTTCAGGCTGTGAAGCGGGAGTACCGTGTTCGCGTTGAAAATGGCGAGGTAAGCTACACCACCACTCACTCATCAGCCGCGTGAATTGGCTTGTGAGCTCTTGGTTGAGTTCTTGAATCTGACTGTGGCGTTTGTAGATTTACAAACATGTAGCGCTGCCTCTGCAGCCTGGCACGAATAAAATGCGCACCCAGGAGCTCGTTCATGCAGTCGAGGAGCTGTACTTTTTCCGTCGGTATCAAGAAGGTGTCAACTTGGTCAAAAGGGCGTTGGAGAATGGAGGAGCGGAAACTCTCGATAACGACTCGCGCCGACTGTTGGAGTCCTATGAGAAGAAGTGTCGTCAAAAGATGGCCAAGTCTGGTTAATTGCGACAATGCCCGTATCGACGCGGCCTGGCTTCTGCAGCTTGTCTTGGTTGAATCTGGCATGAACGCATCCCTCAAGCCTCTTCTTTTTACCAACATGGAAGGTTCTTTAAAAGCCACAATTGGCGTGCCCTGATGGAGTTGCGCGTAGCCACAGACCTGGATTCATTCGCCTTGCAATCCCAAAACCCGGAACCTCCAGTTTTACATATCGGCTCCAAATACAACATTACTTGATAAGTTTACAGACCCGCGAATTGGGATACGCCTCCTCTGACTGCGGGGGTTACCCGGTTGCACCGTCCTGAGAAAGTGTGCAGCAGACATGCTTCCGGCCATGCTTTGGATCGTCGTTCGCCTTTATGAATTGGGACCTTTTTGTGTTCGGAGCCCGAAGCTTCAAACGCGGAGTGCTTGCCAATTTACTCTCTTCGTCAAAGGGTAAGCGGTGCAATCGAGTCCCCGAGCCTGCTACTGAAAGTACAGGGCCTCGTTTCACAATTGGTCGTAGCACTCTGGGTTAAAGTCTGTCAGTGGGATGTTACATTGCGGCCTAGCATCGGAAAGTAATGGTGTTGAGCCCTCGGAACACATCAGGCTACGCTGGCAACACTCAAGCTTGGACACAACGGCGCAGACGTCGCATTCAGAAAAGTCATTCACGTCAAAGCCAAAGCGAGTTCACACAAGGGCCGTGCGGGCAAACATTGTAGATGGCTACAAAGGACCACCTTGCTCTATCTTATCATCATGACCGAGCATTGGTCGATGTGTCTAGCCCTCCACGATGTCAAGACGCATGGCCACCATTTTCAGACAGGTATCAACCGCTGTAAGAAAATTTTCGTACAGCTTGGGGTCGTCGTAAAATGGACAGCCTACAAAGATGGAGTCATGACGCGCGAGAGAAAAAAGAAGGTTCGCAGCATTTTATGACGTGGAGATTTATCGTGGCTCAGTTGAAGAATCTTGATTCTTGCCTCGCCCATCTCTTCTAGAATACAACAAGTTAAACTTTTGGGTCTAATGTATTCTAGTGGTCCTGCAGACTTCTCCTGCCGCCGGGGAGCTTGCTGGGCTCCTACACAGAGACGAATAGTACCTGTTTACTCGAGTCGCCGAGAACAAAACTGTAACCCAAGTGTTTAACGAGAAACACTAGACCTTGTTATCAACTGGATAGATAGCCAACTAAGGAAATAATACCTTTTCCGGACCAATTATTATCACCGTCAGCCCCGCCCCTGAACCAGTATAGAGAGAGCGATTGACGAGGGTTCTAATTCTCTTTGCTACCGCGGAACAGCATCAGAGAAACACCGGTAATGACATAGGTGTTATTCATATCAAGTCTCGGAAAGATTTTGTTTATTCTTCAAATTGATACCCCTTCGTCGTAGAGTGCGGCTCCAGTACATCATGTCTGGAACACAGTTACCCGTGACAGCAGCCGGTATACTTGTAGCTCTGACGGCGAGACAGAAGCCTTCGGGCTGAACCATTTCGTTTACGACACCTTGAGGTATACTTCAAGTGTTCCTTCATGGACGATGAAAGGAGGCTGAAGGGCGTCTGGCTTACTTTACACCTGGAAACTCAAGTGTAGATTCCGCATATTTGACATTTCATTACTAAGTGAGCGTCCTTCAGCTTTAATATTCACAACAAGGACAATGCAAACTCATCTTCGGCTACTTCCTGGATGGGAATATCTCATGGGTCCTTCTCTTATAGTTGCATTGTTACGCCATGGCATCCATTTTCTTGTCAAGTTTCATTAGCAACAACAAGCCTTAATAGGAGACCTAGAATTTGATCCAACGACCAACAAATCGCGCATGTGGAATGGAATGAGCTGTTCCACCATTGCCAGGCGCCCGAACGTAGTCCGGCCGTTCCTGTATCCTTGCGCGTGTCCGAGTGAATACCGAGTCAATGCGATAGGACCAGATCCGGTCTAACTGTTGGTTTCTATAACCTTGATGAATCTGACTAGACTAGGCAGATCCCGTAACCCAATGCCACTCTCCTAGTCCCTCTTCTGGCAGGCTCCGGACTCTCATGCCGCCCGCACCTCGATGCGACGTCGGTTGTTGGTCTGTTTCCCAAAGCGGCGAAAATAAGCGATTCGGTGGGCCGATGAGTAAATTGTGGTAAGACGTGTTAACTTGAATCCCGTAGCTTGAGTTGACAGATAAGACTCAGAAGAGGGTATCCCTTTCTGACTGCCCAATAACCATAGTTTTTTCTGATAGTGAAGTCCAGTCCGGAGCCTACACAAACACTTACCTACTATCTATTCAAGTCAGGGAAATGCGATACTCAAGAGACTTCATTTGCCTAAATACTTGCTGTAGAATCCAGAAACCGCCCACCCCATGTAGAAGTGTCGATGCAGTGTCTCAAACAGTGGGAGCAATAGTGATGGGATAGGTTTGATGCTGCGGCCGTGTTGTATGACCTGTTGGACTTGACAAGCGGCGGTAGCCTCCGTTTACACCGCAGGCTATCTTTGCTGTACCTAGCTAACAGCTACAGTCTCTCCGATTACTTTTTGTACGCTAATCCCTATCTTGTTAATACACCTGCCTAAATTTCATCATACATACCACAATCACTGGCTTTAAGCGACAAACTGAACCGTTGAGGTTGAAGATGGGGGGGATGCCGGTATGCGCCAGAACGTTACCGGCATGGTGTGGCCACAGCGCCGCGGCGTACTATTCTAGGGAAAGGCACAATGTCACTGCCATCAGCCTGCCTACCGAGCTCTCAACTTCCCAAAGCCTTGCCCCTCTTATCTGTTCTAAATTGAATAATGTGAAGACATAATAAGGCTAACTTTTACGGTACATCTAGGGATGTTTAGCAGCACGTTATTACCGAGTCCTCAACGGATTCCGACTTCTATAGCTACCTAGGTACCGTCCTACTACCAATAAGTACTAATACGTTACTATAGTGGCTCAAGATTATGCGACATCAATTGGCAAGTCCTTGACTATATCGTACTCAACCCCAAGCAGTACAAAAATCCGCCTGCTTGAAAGCGAAACTCGTCCATTGATTACCTCTTCGTATGATTCTCAGATAGCTTCGATTTTCTCCAACGTTTACAGGATCCCCGATGACGTTATTGACTATATATATGAGCACAACCGTATCGCGATGATGATATATCTGGCGATTCCAAGAGCAAGAATATAGAGGATATAGCTAGTAATAATAATGGTGTGGCCGGTTCTAGCACTAGCTGAATAGACAACCAAGTCGAGACGTGTCACAAGGCCAAGGCCGGGACAAAGGTATCGGATATTAAGGTTACACAAAACAAAGAAAGGTATCACGGGAGCCCGGAGTCGGACCTTGGCAAGGGCTGCCTCAGGCCGAATGATATTGCTGCTTGTTAGAAGGATTGATCCTGGAGGACTACATGGCTCTTGCCTTTGCATAGGGACGGTTTTCCCCCGCAACGGAATAAGTATATAAGGCTGCTTGCCATGAGACTCAACGGGTGGTCATGACCGGACAGAGTTGTGCGGCTGGTGGCGAGGCTTGGTTTGTTCGGCATACAAGTGTGTGATGGGGGGGAAAGGTCTAGCAAAACCACAGCGGGTAGCTACAAATGAATTGGTTCAATGGAGACAAGGAAACCTTCTTACACACACTGCCTTGCAATTGTGAAGGGCTCGTTAAGGGCAAACATGACATGCGTTGGCGCTGCCAGCTCAACACTCTCTTGGACTCGGTATTTGAAGTCGGCGTTCTAATCTGGCAGCTCCCCGCAAAGTGTATCGCTCGGCACTCAAAATCAATGACACTAGCTGTCTATAAGAGTCAAATTATGCGAAGCTGTCGTTGGATCAGATATACAGCACAGATAGCTTCTGGACAACGGTGAAAGGCCTCCACCGACCTACCAATCCTGCATCCCGTCTCACGACAAGGCAAGTATATGCTGTCCTCCTACCACATGCCCAGCAAGTGATGTGATACATTGATCCAAAACTGGCCTGTCGACTGCGCCGATTCTGCATCGCGCCTCGTTCAGCTCACCTGCCACGGCGGAGAGCGTTGGCGTCCAGCCAGCAATTCGGCTCTGCGAAGGAGATGGTTTGTTTCGTCTCTCAAAGTTGATCTCTCTTCAACTAGCACTGCCACGGGGATCCGCCCATGCTTGAAGCTGACTATTCGCCTGCTTCCCGGTCCACTCCTCCATTACTTCACCGAACCGCACTCAATTAATCCGGGGACGGTGCGGTGTGATCCCACCCTCTAGACTACCTGCTCCGGATGTTGGCACATCCGACGGGAAATGGACCGTGACTGCATACGGGGTGCGCTCGCACGGCCTGATGGCGAGTATTTCGTCCATGCGGGTGTTAGCAAAAGATGGTGGCGATGAGACTGGTACACAAGGAGCGCCTGTCGCACAGAGGGAGCAGAGAGTAGGACAGCTCACTTGAAGCAACGCGTATTTCAAAGACGTGCGAACAAGTACCAACTATCAAGATGAGAATGCTAGCCTTGACGTTGGCATCGGCACTGGCTGTTTGGCCAACGGCGTGCCTCAACGAGGATGAAAGGACGGCCGCCCAAGAAGCTGTACGTCAACCACGTCTCCAACCAAGCTTCAGATCCGTCCATTAACACCTCAACAGTGCCATGAGTTGGCCAAAACCCTCCCCGAAAACGTCCACTTGCCCAATTCACCCAGCTACAACCTCTCCAACACATATTGGTCGGCTCGCCAATCGGCGCTTCACCCACAATGCTTTGTGACGCCGCGCTCAACACAAAACGTATCCCACATCATGAAAACACTAACCTCTCTCAAAGCCCCCTTTTCCGTCAAGGGGGCCGGCCACACAGCGTTCCCCGGCGGATCCAACATCCAGGACGGGGTGACCATGGACCTCGTCCACCTCAACCGAATCACCGTATCCCCTGACAGGAAAACAGTCGCCGTGGGCCCCGGGAACCGCTGGATCAATGTGTCCTCGGTCCTCGATCCCCTCGGTCTGGCCGTCGTCGGAGGCAGGGCCGCCAGCGTCGGAGTCAGCGGGCTCACTCTGGGAGGCGGACAATCCTACTTCTCGGGCTTGCACGGCTGGGCGTGCGACAATGTGCGCAACTTCGAGCTCGTCCTTTCGTCAGGGCGCGTCGTCAATGCGAATGCCACCAGCAACGCGGATCTGTACCGGGCCCTGCGAGGCGGCGGCGGGTCGAACTGGGGCGTCGTCACGAGGTTTGATCTCGCGTCCTTTGAGCAGGGCGACTTGTGGACGCGTTCCTTGGTGTTTGACGGCACCAGCGCGAACCAGACCATTCTGCCCATGATGACGAGGTTGGCTGCGGAGGACCTGGCCGCCGATCCTGGGGCCCACGCGTACTTTGTCCAGACGTACGACCAGGCTTCGCGGCGGTGGTTGTTCCTGACGAGCTTCTTCCACGCGACTCCTCCTGCTGCCAACACCACGCCGGCTGTGTTTGATGGCTTCAGGTCTGTCCCGGGACTTGTTTTGGACAACACCCTCGTGGGCAATCTGTCGACCATTAGCCGACTTATTGATGAGCCGGTTGGTCGAAGGGCTACTTGGTGGGATACGACCGTCGCGGTTGGCTCGGTGCAGCTATTCGAAGAGATTGGCGAGATGTACAAAGATTGGGTGGCCCGAGTGATGGAGGCTGCTCAGAACAGGCAGTTTACACCCTATCTCGTGTATCAGCCTATTACGGACAACATTTTGGAAAAGATGCAGCAGAACGGAGGCAACTCTCTTGGGTTGTATCCTCAGGATGGTCCGCTCATGATGGTGCAAGTGTCTGCGCGCTGGGCCGACGCCGAGCTGGACGCCGTCATTGAAAGTTCGGCCAGTGAGCTTCTCTGCAAGGTTGAAAGTATTGCGAGAAAGAACAAGCTTCTCCGGGGTTATGTCTACATCAACTATGCAGGGCGATCCCAAGAGGTACTGAGAACATATGGTGAGAACTATCCTTGGCTTCATACGGTGGCCAAGAAGTGGGATCCGGATGGCTTGTTGCAACGCTTGTGGAGAGGATACTTTCAACTGCGTTGAGAGTCTACGAAACTATAATAGCAAATATATCACAAATGTCACCTGTTTTGCCATACAAAATTGCATGCCGCAACATGAGCCCAAACTCTCGCAAATATGCACCGTGCCAAGAGGCTGGATAGATACTCGTTCTTCAGGGTGCCTTAGCAAGATGGGGCAAAGAGAAAACGAGCAAAGTTTCATCAGAGACATTTGTTTGAAAAGTCTGCATCGGCAAGTATTATTCCCGCCTCAGTGCTTGACTCTAATAATTGTCTTCATCATATGAAACGCCAACCATCCCAATCAACAGCAGGACCAGACCAGAAAACTTCCCATGAAGTTCAGAATGTAAAAAAAAAAAAAAAAGGTCGGCACCGCCATCAACAAGGATGGACAGCGGTTTGACCCCCTCGCCTCAAGAATAAGCCCCGTCGAGTAACTCGGTAAACCGAGCAATCGCATACCTATCAACCTCGACAAAATATCCTCAGTACCCGATGCCACACTCCTTGTCACCCACGGCTACCCGTCATCCGAACCTGCTCGTCTAGCGCCGGAAGTCCCAGCCACACCATCCCAACGCGGACTCATATCTTCATCCAAATGGGCCGAGAGATGCAACTAGGCTCCAAGCAAGACTCGCAAGACACGGATGTGGCGACGGGCAGGGCGAATGGTCCACGGAGAAGGCCAAGGCGCAAAAGGTCAGCCGCAGTGCTTCTATGGCGGCGCGTTTCCGCAAGCTCCCCGAAGAGAGACGTCCGGGGACTTTCTCCCAAAGCAATAGAATGATGAGACGCTAGCCAAGGCCGAGTGTCTCCGTATGTTAGCTTCGAATAGCGATTTGTTGAGCGAGGGGGTAGAGAAGAAAAAAAAGAGAGAGAAAAGCTGCGTGAGGCCTCGAGCGTGAAATTTTATGTAGCTAGGCGGGCCCACTTTTCCTTTTTTTCTACCGTAATGCAGAGGCCGAGCCTTGCCTGTCGAGAAATTGTTAATGTGGGCCAATCAAGTGTCTGGATTGGAAGAGAAGAAGGCTGGAGCCTTCCCTGCCTAGAATCATCGTGACATATTGTCGTACATTTCAACCTCCCACCATTGCAGTGCGTTTCTGCTTGGGAGCTGCAGACGAGCACACAATATCTCTCATTCCAATTGAACGTCTAAGAGACGGGATAGGCGGTTGTAGCCAAGAAGTTGGGCCACCACGCGCGCGCAACCACCAGGCTCGCGACGACCGTTCCTCCCTCTGCTTTTCAAATCTTGACCGACACCACCAAATAGGCCATCGTCTGTGCAGCCCACAGTCACCATGTCTGGACTATTTGGAGCTACCACGAGTTCCACGACGACTAGTACCGTCGGCGACCTGAAGTCAGACGTGGCCCTCAGCGACCCTCCTACCGATTCCATCTCTGCTCTCTCATTTTCCCCAGCTCCCAATGGCCCTGATTACTTGGCCGTTGCCAGCTGGGACAACAAAGTCCGCATCTACGAAATCGCCCAGAATGGCCAGAGCCAAGGCCGACATGCATACGAGCACACACAACCCGTGTTTAGCTGTGACTTTTCCAAGGTAAGAATGATGTATGCCGCGAGTCGGTCCTGCTCCTGGTGGTTTTTTTCCCCTACCTCTTCTTCCTTTTCCATGCATGCTGACGACTCTGCGTGGATAGGATGGCACAAAAATAGCTTCGGCCAGTGCAGATAAGAACATCAAGGTGTGCGACCTGAGTTCTCAGCAAGATATCGTCATCGGTACCCACGAACAACCGGCTCGCACATGTCGATTCTTCGAGAGTGGTGGCGCGCCCATGATTGTATCAGGGTCATGGGACAAAACCATCAAGTATTGGGACTTGAGGCAACCGGGTCAGGCCGCAGCCACGGTGTCGTGCCAGGAGCGCGTATACACGATGGATGTGAGGGACAATCTGTGCGTTGTCGGCACAGCTGACAGATACATCAATATAATTGATCTGAGGAACCCTTCCAAGTTCTATAAGACGATGCAGAGCCCACTCAAGTGGCAGACACGAGTTGTCAGTTGCTTCACCGACTCGGCCGGCTTCGCTATTGGCAGCATCGAAGGTCGATGTGCTATTCAGTATGTGGAGGACAAGGACTCAAGGTACGTCGATGCGCTGGCCCGTCAACAAGGATTGCGGCAGAGCTCAGCCTCTCTAACATTTGTCGCACAGTTCAAATTTTTCCTTCAAATGCCACCGAGACCCCGCGGTTAACAACGTCGTCAACGTCCACGCTGTCAACGATATTTCGTTCCACCCCGTCCACGGCACCTTCAGCACGGCTGGATCGGACGGTACGTTCCACTTCTGGGACAAGGATGCCAAGCACCGTCTCAAGGGATATCCCAATGTGGGAGGCAGCATCACGGCGACGACGTTTAACAAGACGGGTAGCATCTTTGCCTATGCCGTTAGTTACGACTGGAGCAAGGGCTACCAACACAACACGCAGAGCTATCCGATCAAGGTTATGCTGCACCCAGTAACTGGTGACGAATGCAAGCCAAGGACGACACTGAAGAAGCGGTAGATGGTTTAACAACGGCGATTACATGATGGGCTTGGTCCAGGAGGGGTCTTGGGGAGTTGCAAAGGGAATTCTGAAAACAAAACCAGCAGTTATATCTATCAGGGCGTAAAATTATATTACGGATGTTGCTCTCTGTTGGTTGCGGCTGCGGACGTGCATGGGACTCGTTCAATACCACGATTACTTCAGACTAGTGAGAATGCATTAGGTTAAAACAGTTTCTTTATTTTATCATGATGCCAGTTATCCCGGCATCTAAAAAGAAGACCAAATCATATTGAAGTTGCAGTTGTACGGCTGCACTAGCGCACCTAAATTATCAGAACATCCTATAGCTCGTAGTTTCAAATGACAAACGCTTTATACAAACTTTGCTCGGCCTTCCCAAGGCCAAGTCTCAGCTCCAGGCCGTTACGAGTCGTTGTTGAGGAAGCGCAAAGCTCACAGTCACAGAGCCTTCTTGGGCGTGCCGCCAAATACATCCTCCACCATGCCCTTCCAGATATCCCGAATCATGCCACTGCTCTCCTCCGCTTTCGGCTGGCCAGCGTCATCATACAGGAACTTGAGCTCAATCCCATCCAAGCCAATGCCCTCGACTCCGGACAAGGGCGCTCCGGGGACAACGTTATCCGGGTCGGCGGCCACAATCGTCACCTCTGGCCTGACGCTGACGTCAGGAGCGAGGGGAGTGTGAGCAGCGCCGTAGTTGTCCGGGAGAAGGGGCACAAGGGGCCCTTGGTCAGCTGTTGACGAGCTGGCGAGGGAGCTCATTGACGGAAGCACAGCGGCGTCAATGTGTGTGGTGGAGGTGTGCATCGTGGAAGCCGGAGCAGACGAGTGGAAGGTCTGCATGAGTGGCTTGGAGCGGTTGGCGAGAGAGGGTTGGGGAGTAGGTCGATGGGTGGTGGCGAGGCCGCGAGAAGACTTGGTCAAGTTAGCAATCTTTTCTTTTCCTTTTTTTTTGTCTCCTTTTGTCATTTGTCCCCGGTATCACGGTGAATTGCGTACATCAGAGGGCTCGCTACTCCTGTTGCGCAACAGCTCGGCGTATTTCGGCATGAGCACGGCTCCCACGCTGTGTGCAGAGCTGTCCAGCAGCGGCGAGGCGGAGCGCGCGGCAATGCTGGACGACGAGGCGCTCAGCGCTCTGGAGATTTTTGACATGGGTGCAGTGACGCGAGACATGGCAACGGTGCGAACTTGAGAATGCGAGAAATTCTAGAGCGAATGCCGGGAAGGATTGGGGGAAGGTGGCGGGAGGGATTGGACGCTTTTATTGCAAGTATCTGTGAGATGAGCGCCCCCAGGTACCCAGGAGCTTGTTGAGCTATGGTTGAGCTTGTCGTTGAGTTACCGACGATTGCAGAAGTGGGTAGGTGTTCTGGTCAGTGCGATACTGGATCAGGGGTGGTGACTGGTTTAAAGCCGCGAACACGAATGAAGGCTGTGTCTTGGACAGGGCTCGAAAAATGGACTTTTCTACTCCTCGGTACGGTGTACGAAAAATAAAACAAAAAAAACGCAAAATGATTTTGATGGAAAGAGGGGGAAACGGATGGTGAGGAGATGATATATGCAGTGTTTCACTCGTTGGGGGGGCCGAGAGGGTAGGAGGATAACGCAGCATGGAGGACGCAGTGTAGAGACGGATAACAAGTCGACATGTATGCGTCCCCAAGGTGAAGCAGATGAGAGCCGTGCCATCCGACCAATTGTGGTTCGCGAGACGGCGACAGCCAGCGAAAAGAGGAGGGAGGACGCGATGCAGCAACCACTTGAGACGAATGGGGTGGGGGAATCCAGGGACGAGAAACTTGCAATGAATACATTGGTTGCTTCGTACATTAGTACGAGTATATAGTATATACATGGAGTGACAACTTTGAACAGATGGCGTCCTCAACGGACATGCGCCGCAGGGATGCGGAGAACTGACTGCTAGACTCTGGTTCGAGTACGGAGTAGCGTCGAGGAATGGCCACATGGCCACATTAAAGACACTGAACTGGTTGACTGGGCAGCGTACTGAAACCAGGTCGGACCAGACTACTCCTTGGAGTGAGTTGGACAGAGAACATTGAAAGATTGAGGCATTCAGGGGCCTTGGACTGACTGCTATCGTTATTTAGTGTTGGAGCTGCTGAGATGCCGTGGGGCTGCACACAGTACAAGCCGGTGCTAAGGGCGGGCTGGTTATACCAAGTCCAGAGTACTACCTCGGTGGTTATTACATCCTCACATCAAGAAGCTTGAGACAAACACGTCCACCATCAATAAAGATTCAAAAAACATCATACTATCTCTATCGCTTACCGCCACTCCCGCAAACATCAACCAGACTCCTTACAGCATATCCTACACAATCGTACCACTCTTTCTGGGCGCCGCTGTCTCTCCCCAATAATAAAGGCTGGGTTTATTTAGCACCCCTCCTGGCGGATTTAGCACCCTTTTTGTGGCTGGAGGTGGCTGCGACACCCGATACCGGGCCCCCATAGATTTTTATATGGGGGCCACGTAGAAGGTGTCTGTACGGTCGCGCCTTTGTCAAAAATCGGTCAAGTTGGTCAAATCAATCAATTCAATGAAGCTATTCCGAGATATTCATGACTGATACCGGCTGTCGCATGATATCATCTATTGTGGCTGCCTGCTGTGTCATTTTTTCGAAGACCTGATCTAATTCACCTTCATATTTAGGCGTAATATCATTATCCCAAATAAACGAGGCATCTTGGCTACCCCATTGTGACTCTATAAGAGGACGTTGTGAGGCTTTTAGCGATGAATTTTGTGGTGTTGAGGCCACATTAATATCGTTAATGTCTTCAATTGCGGCTGCAAAACGCATGTAAGCTTGAGGGCCCTTAATGCCCGGCTCGTATGAATCATGACGATCAATAGCTCTAAGGCTAATAGCTGTTAAAGTTAATCGTGTTACTTTAATAGCTGCGGGCGCTGTTAACGGCGGTGGATTTTGACGCGCAATAGCCTCTCTAGCTGCATTAAGGCTATTAAATTGACGATTAAAAAGGGCCTCCATTGAAAGGGAGAAAATGCACGAATTTGGCGTTGTGTAAAAAGCTTCAATTTACAGCGCTGTTGGCTGTTATGTGTGTTGTGTTACGAGCGGGTGTCACGTGATGCGTTGTGTGCGAATTTGCGATGGTGTTAATGAGCTAAGCCTGTCAAAATCCCCTTACTAATCACTAGTAAATTCCGACACCGGCAGCTGACGGGGCCCAGCCACAGTTGGGGTGCTAAATCCGCCAGGAGGGGTGCTAAATAAACCGAGCCATAATAAAGTGCAAGACATTTTAATGCTCCAGACCTAAAAAACTGGAACCTCGTTGAGCCAGTCCCCTACAGTTGGGGGCGCCCTGAACTCTACCGTCAAGTCAAGTCAAGTCAAGTCAAATGTCACCTGCCAGGGCCAACCAGCGACAACCATTCAATTTTGATGCCAGATTAAACGGTCTGGTTAAATACCTACGCCTGGTAGATACGCCACAACTTACTCCATACCTCAGTGCTGGCGTAGAAATGGAGAGAGTGCGTTGTTCTTGGAATAACCATTATGATTTCGTAACGGCACTGGGGGCTTTTTAGTCTAGCGGCATTAGAACACCGTCACGAACCCGATTGGTCAGTTAACCCGGTCAATAACGAATTGATGGCCTGTCAGTTGCATCAAGCTGACAGCATCGACGACTGATGCAAGGTTTTATTAGGGATGGTCATTTCTCTACACATGTAACTACTTACTGTACACGCACGCGTGCGCATATTTGGTGTTGTACATCTACTAGGTACCTAGAGCAGCTTTCTAACCCGTCCTTTATTTCCGAATTCATAAATTTATCCGATGACTACATACCTAGAATCAGTACCCGACCAGACCCTAACCCTCATCTGACATAATGGTCGGGCTAGTTGCGTCCTACTTGAGCCAACCATTGGCGGCGAGTGGCTTCTTTCTGTTTGGTGAGCCAGAATTCAACTCCAGCATGTTACAATTGTTGCGCAGCGTCTAGGGCGAACGAGTTACACAACATGCACAATGCGGCTACCGTCGAGATCTGCGTGTCGTTCCAGTGGCGATGGGTACACCAAGTCGCTCCGTGGCACCATCACAGGGTTAACAATGGAGAGCTTCCTGATTCGACAGGCCGCCAAGTCTGATGGTGTAAGCTCACAAGCTTTTGGAGATAATAACTCTGTGACGAAGATCGATGTGCATCCTACCCGGCTCCACAACGGCCAAACACGTCCGGGTCTAGCAATCGGAGCTGCGTGGATCTTGGTATGCCGTCTATTTAGTATTTACAAAGCGGCATCACAACAAGCCAAGAAGTGGGATGTAGCGCTTAAACTTTGATGCGACGATTTCGATTTTTTTTTTCTCTGATCAAAAATCAGTTTCACACATTCAATCTTTATTTGGAGTACTTGATAAAGTGCCAACCACTGCCGGTAGTTGCGAAGATATCATTGTCTGTTGAATGTTCTGATGCCTCGTCCAACACTTCAATCGCTCCCTGTCCTATTCCGAGAAGACTGTACTGATAATGTTTATTTTCAACTTCATGTCCATTGATTTCATACAACAATGCATGCATCATCATGCGCAGACTCTCACTTTCTCCGACTTCAGCGGACAGAGCCTTCTTGGCGAACTGCTCAACAGTGGTGAGTTTACCATCGGAAGCGGGACGTCCCTTGGCAGTAGTTGCTGCGGCCTTCAATTTCTTGGACAGTGTAACGTCGCTAGGGACGCCAAAGAACCGGCCACCGGTGTATTGCACAAATCCGAAAAGGTTCTTGACGGTTTCAATCTCCGGCTCTCCATGGGTTTCAATGGTTGTCCAGTCTTTGACTTCGTTGAAGCGGGAATTCTTGCCGGATGCTAGCAACGGTCAGTACATGACGAATCAATGCGTTACTTCGCGAATACGCACCTTTCTGGACTGCAGCAACAAGCTCTTCAGGTGTAGCGAGTTGGCTGAAACCCTGCACAAACTGGCCATTTTAGGTCCCGGGATCAAAAAGAACTCCGTGGACAGTGTCGCCATAGTCGTCTCCAATAGAGATGAAGGGGATCGTATTATCTCCGCCCCAGTTTGGCATGGCCAAGGTTAGGCAGCCGTCCTCATCTTCCGCATAGGGCAGTCCGCCAAGAAGACCAGCAACTTCGGGGTTGAAGTGGTTCTCCATGTACCAGCCAGTGCCAACATTGACGGCACTCTTGAAGCCCTTGGTCTTGGCGTCAGAAACTAGGTACTTCTCTGTCAGGGCGTTAGATCGTTTGCCCTCATGCAAAAGTTCCGGGCATTCTTACGTACCGTCCATGCCGGCGCTGGTGATGGAACCATTGGTGATTTTGGCGGAAGATGCAGAACCACTGTATATCAAGACCTCAACTCCAGCTTCAAAAGCTGCATCCACAACTTCCTTGCCGTGGTTGTTTTCGGTGATGCCGCCCGGCTGGTGGAGGGCCTGCAAAGCCATGTTAGACGTTCGGCTTCATGTATGTAAATACCGTGCTACTTGGGACTCACAGGATCGACAGAGTTGGAGTTGAGAAAGACAGTCCAGGTGCCTTGGAATGCTTCAAGCATCTGTTCTTTGCTTAACCCATCGCCCTTAACGATGTCAACACCGCGAGCTGCAAGAGCCTGGGACTTATCAGAGTCTGGGTCTCTAGTGATGCCTCGGATCTTCAAGTCTCCAGATTTGTTCTCCAGAAGCGAGTTGACTACACTTCCACCCTGGTTACCAGTGGCACCGTAAACAGTGATGATCTTGCGAGATATGCTGAAGCTCAGATACGGACGCCAAAGGGTAGCTGGTTTCTCTCTTCTACTACGAGAAGGAAGTACTATTAGCTATTATGAATGAGGTGCGAAGGGTCCCCGTTAAGCCAAGTCGTTGATGATGTTCCAATCACAAGCCAATCTCATCTGGCCGTGCTGCCCTCCTCCCCTTTATGCCTTTTCCATTTCATCATGTCAGGAATGCACTCATCATATTTCACCATTTGGGACGAATACACGCAGCGGTCAACTAATCAGCCAAACTCCATGCAATGCCCCGAGGAAAGTCTGTAAAAATCAGACGTGGAGGATGTGCAACTCCGCCCTACATGATGGTTAGCATAACTCGAGGCTATTCAGCCACATGTACGTCTATTCGTAGCGGCCAAAGCGGTACTGACTTTGACGACGGGAGTTTATGATGATGAGCCGAGGTGTGAGTGCCTTCACGCCTATCCTGTCTGAGGTTGAAGCTGAACACCCACTCCGCCAGGGTGTTACGTGGACAGAGTCTGTTGCGATTAGTAAACCCACCAGTTGACGTCAACTCTGAAATCCACAGGCGGCCAGCCTTATTTTCCAGGTCATGACGGATATCTTTCATTCTGATCGCAAAGCATCAAACCATAGCGCACTCACATAATAACATTTAGGGCATTTAGGCTGGCCAGTCGGTATGCAGCCATTCGCGGGCCGCGTATGGCCGATGAAGACGGTGATTTCCGCAAGTCGGGTCGGAGAACACCACGTCCGGAGTTGCTACGAGGTCCATATTAGACTTTTGAGGAGCTATGCCCGTTGCGCTCCTGGAAATGACGAGAGCAAGACTCCGCTATGTCTAGTAATTAAGGTTGGCGGAATGGCGGATGTGACCTGAGGCAGAGGAACCCTCGATAGACCAGTAAATTTGTAGTTTTGAACCAATGGGTGCGGGCGTTGGTTGTTGATCAAGTAGGTTAGCATTCGAGAAAGAGTCTCCAACCCAAATCAACGCGTTGGACTCCACCAGATAATGCAAGGGCTAATCAATAGGCAGAATGGCAACACAGACAGCAAGGTGTGCCAGATTGTATTTTATACCTAGGTCATTAATTCCATATAGTTACTCCTTTCCTTTCCTGGAAAGGGTTTGAAGCGATACCAGACGCTGAAAGGAGCATTCTAATCTGGCTACCAAAGATGACTTAGCAACTGACTTCCAACTCTATTGGTCTTCGCACTGATTGGAACTGGTAGCGACCAGGTTGAAGTAATGTGGCCAGGCGAGTGGCCTAAACCTGCACCATCTGATAGTGCCGATAGCCCAAGTGCTCGGGCTGCTGGCAGCTGTTTATTGTAAGTTGCCAGCTGCCAGCTGCCACTTCTCGTGCTTGTTATTCCACCCGCTTAGAATTTTCTTTACTTTACTTCTTCCTCGCCTTTCATCATAAAAATCACATTCACCAGGCCTTACCAACGCTGAGCAAGATCCCTAACCATCTAATCATCGTCTCTCCAACACACAACACACCGCCGGTAGTCCTCAGAGAGCAAAGGCAGCCATGAGCGTCGATCCTATTCAAATGGCCTGCATGGTAGGATAGCAGTATTCTCTAATCTTCTTCCCAAATACTCACTTGCATTTCTCAAACAGGCTGACTTGGGGCGCCAACGTCAAGAAGAGCTCCCCTTGAGCAACAAAGAGGGTAAAGGTAAAGGGCCGTCATTTGCGCCATCTCGACGCAACGGCACAGGTCACATCGCTCCAGACCTGAAGAAGGGGCTGGAAACAAAATGGAATGGTAAAAGCACTCCTCTCGACCCCTGCAATACACGAAGGCTAATTAGGCTAGCAGTCCAAATCAACGACGAGGAATCCGAGCAAATGAAAGGCCTCGCCGTTGAGGATAGCCGTCCGTGGGCAAAGAAGATTGCGCAAGATTTCATTAACCGAAACCAAGTTTTCACGTGGGTACGCGATGCTCGTCCTGACTACCCGTCACTAATGGCCAAACCACAGAGCACCGCCGAGGATTCGTCAAGAATCGAAGGGACATAAACGTGCAAAAGAAAATAGTTTGCAGAAGATACCAGCGGCTAGTCTTGGCGGTCTCATACCTCCTGGCGGGAGTGTGCGGCATTTCAGCGCCTCCAAGTCCACCGGAAGACTTCCGTCAAAATCACAAGTCCGAAGTATCAGTGATAACGTTCCGGGCACACCGCCTAATACCAATAACTGCGAGTTACAGACACTTCGTTCAAACCCGAACAGCACAATGGCCTCTCCAACCCCCAGCCCAGCAGCTCCTGCGGAGCAGTCCCACGGTTCTCCTAAGCCTGTAGTTATGAGCCTTCCTAGTCGACCCTCTAAGCCGCTGGAACCGGAGCATATTGTTTTGCGTGGCATCTGCAAGTTGCTGAATCCAAAGGACCGATCAGTCCTCTTTGTAATATCATACATCATGAAGGTTAGAAAAGACACGGATGAGGGCTACCTTGTTCTGTCTAGCTCGGGCAAAGAAGACAGGATTCATAATGTCTTAGAGCTCTTGGCCCCGGATACAAGGGATGATTGTTGCCGTGTGTGCTCTAGGGCTGAGAAGAACGGCTTCGCGTATATTTTGCAGTTTCCTAATATCCCTGATGCTCACAAGTTCAAGATTTACCTTGAGAGTCTTCAGCAAGCAGCCGCTCGCGAAGCTAGTATGGAACAAAAAAAAGCCGTCCAAGGTCCCATGGCTGCCGAAGCTGCACAGGAACCTCCCTCTTCGCCCACTACATCACATCCTGTCATTGATTCACCATCTCTTTCAGCTACCTTAGAGACGACGGACCCGGTACGACCAGCGGTGGACACACCTCCGTTTACCGTTTCGACATCTGCCAAACATTCCAATGCCAAAGGAGGAGAGGATAGCATGGAACTGGTAGATTTAGAACCTCCGTCTTGCTCTAGAGCAGCGGCGAGAGAGTTCATTATCGAGGACGCGGCTGAGAAACTCGTCGGGCTAATCGACAAGATTCTACCTGAAGCTGCTGAAGCCGGCTTAATACTCTCGGATGACACGGTAGCCCATATACAAGAGGTTGCTATTGATGATTGGCTTAACAGAGGGTTCCTCGCGTCGGAGACTGATGACATGAAAACTGATCTTCTCGAACTTCTCTGCATTCTGGTGCGAATTAAGCGCAAAGCGGAGTCCCGAAGGCAGGCACGGCCTGTGATCCAATCTCTTCAAGGCTTTGACATGGAGTCACGGCCAAACCGCATCACTTATAGTGCATCACAACTGGAGTACCTTAACACAGCCCAGTCTCAGCAATCTCTTCAAGGCCTCGACAGAGAGGCAAGACCAAGTCGTATTCAGTATAATGCAGCAGAATTGGAGATGATTAATGCAACGCAACCCCAAGAGACCCTGAGGGGGAAATGCACAAAAAACACAGAGTTGGAACTTGAGCGAATTGGGGGTGCGAAAGTCAATGCCCCGGCGGCTTTGGCCACAAACGTTATAACGCCACGCCGAACTCCCAAAGTCACGAGCTCCCCTGCAGCTTCTGTGGCCAACTTTTCCAAGTACAAGGACTGGCTGGGCGAAAAGCCCGGTGAAGTCGTAGCTTCTCCCAAGTCTACAGGAGAGGCGGCAAGTTCAGGGCAATCGCCACACATGACTACTAACGGCGCTACTGCTTCACGCAAGGAACAGTCATCTACCTCGGGACTGGGTACATCGCGATGGGCTCGTAATTAAATGGAATTTGACTCTTGAGGAAAGAGTACGCACTGAAATATATGGCGAAGACGTAGTACATAGGAGAGTCGATATTTAGCTAGGTATTCAATGGATCGTTTCCAGAAGCTGCGGTCTCGATTATCTATTTCAAGGTAGACGCTACTGCATGGATAATTGCAGGTGAAAATACACAAATACACTAAGTTGAAGTATTCTATGTCTCTACATCTTTTTCCAATGCTAATGTGATGATCCAATTCGCCTGCGCTGACATTTCTGTAGGACGTCAGGCTCCGGTTCATCGTGGACAATACGATGGTTGTCAGCCTGCAGACTGGGTGCTATGGGATGATATCGACTCTCTGAAGCCTGGCTACATTGGGCATGCCTTTTTTTCTTTCTTCTTGGGTTTCTGCGTTTTCGGATGGCCTCAGCACTTGGCTCATAACAGCTGAAGCCGATCTCACCGGAGCGAAATGACGTCCACCTGGGTAAGCCTCCATATTTATTAGACACGAAGTACCTACAAGGCAGGCTGAAAATATGGCAACCTCGGATACCCAAAGAAGACATGCCAGGTTCCAAAGAATTTGACAATCCTACGCCAGAGCCCTGTACACGAGCTTCCAGCGTCGATCATTGTCTCATGCGACACCTAGAACCCCCATCTTCAATGGCCCGCATGCCTCGGTAGAAACGTCATTTTTGTGCACCAGCACTTCTTAAAGAGCCCGCCGCGGGGATGGCAGCTTTGCAAAAAAAAAAAAAAGAAAGAAAGAAAGAAAGAGAAAGAGAGAGAGACAGAGGAATACGAAGGAGTCTGCCGCTTGCCGAGTTGCATCGGAGTCTTTTTAGGGCTGTGTTCCCTACAAAGAGGGAAAAAAGCATCCCACCGATGCAATGCACTCACCCACATGGACACCTTTCGGAATGCTGTGCGGCCAAGGATTTACGATGCACACAGACCACATGCAATCGACGTTTCCTGCCGGCTGCCGCTCCACTGAATTCGCCGTCTGTCATGGTGCGCTTGGTCACTGCATTAGGAGCGGGTCGTGAGGCTGGAAGAAACATTAAATACGAAGGGCACGTTGCCATTTCGTACATGTGGCGGGATGTATTTGGCTGGCGCCAAGTAGGTTCTAGCATATCACTGGGTATTATAGCATGCTACCCAGCATAATGGCACCTTGTTTTCGATCCGGCGACTTGATTCTTGCCGCGAGACGGCGACGGTCCGAATTCGTCGTGGGCCGTGGGTGCGTCATGGCGATGTGTGTGCTCCGCTTATGTGGTTTGTCCTAGGGGATGTGGAGATGGCACATGTCGACTCTTGACGCATCATGTTGTAATGATGGGGCCCGGAGCCCGTGATGCTCGTTTCTGTAGTGGTGTATCTAGATTTCTAGTGCGGCCATGGAGCATATAAAGAGGTGATGGCGGCGCCTTGGGAGGAAGAGCAGACCTACATCAACACATTTTGCATTGACGACCACACATTAGCATAAGCATATCTGGCATACATTTCGTTTCCAAAACTTTATTTTTCAGCCACTCTTCAAAATGCAATTCTCTGGAGTCATTTGCGCTGCCATCATGGCTGCTACCGCTTCCGCGGTCAGAGGTACGTTTTGTCTCTATTCTCTCGATGATTTCTGTCATGATCTTTTTCTTCTAACAGGCGAATAGTTTCCTGGGATGCTGGCTACGATAAAGCAGACCGTTCCCTAACTGAAGTTGCCTGCTCTGGTGGAAAGAGAGGGCTGATGCCCACGTACCAGAAGCAGGGGGATCTGCCCAACTTCCCCAGCATTGGCGGCGCCGCTGCCATTGGCGCCTGGGGCTCGAACGACTGTGGAAGTTGCTGGAAGTTGGACTATGACGGACTCAGCATCAAGGTTCTCGCTATTGACCATGCTGGCGACGGGTTCAACATTGGTCAGGCTGCTATGAATGCTCTTACGAACGGACGGGCCGTTGAGTTTGGTCACGTTGATGCTACCGCCACGCCACTGACACCCCAGGAATGTGGATTGTAACGTCCATCTGATCATGTGTTGGGTACAACAATTGTTTTATTATCTAGTGTCTGTATGAAGAAAAATAGCGTAATGATAATGCGGCTCCGTAAAGAGCCTGGCTTGAATCCGTTGACTGTGCCAAGTTGGGTTCAATGATGTGATTCATGTATGCTGGCCATGCTCGGCAAAACGAAACCTGCTTTGAGACAGAGATGAAGATAGGGATTCAACCGTAAAAAACTGCGGTTCGTCGTCGACGGGGGTATCGACCTGGCTCAACCATGATATCTGAGACGTTATCTAAGACTTGAGCCGATTCAGCCGCCACAGCGGGCTGCGCGCCATTCCGGAAGTTGGATTCCCTGCGCAAAATCTCCAAGTCCGCATCACTATCCGGCTCTTTTTCTGCCACGATGGCCAAATCCTCAAAGTTGAGGGGATCTTTGCCATTCGATGCTAGGAACAACAGGCACATGATTGTCTCAGCGTGCATGGCAAACTCTTCGAATTTCCACCCCGAGGGAAACCCTGAAAACGGAATCGAGACACCAACCGGTCCCACAAGCGCTGACTTGACGTCTTTCTTCTCAAATAGCACTTCTGCTCTGTCTAAAAAGTCGTCCAGAAGTCTTCGCTGCCCTCGAAACGCATAGCAATGCTCCGTACAGTCGTAACCTGCGTAGTTGCCGGCGTCGAAGATGGAGAAGTACACGGACAGTCTCTCTACGGTCAAGTCGTGACCGCACTGACAGGGCACACTGTTTCTGTGGTATACACGGACATCTGAGGAACGGATAATCTCGAGATCTGGAGGGCTGTACGTTTCCCACGGGTGCCAACATTGCTGACCAGTGATATAGGACTCCCACTGGTCCTTGAGTTCTGTTGTATCAACGCGGTGGTAGGCGTTTCGGACCTCGTCTTTGGTAGGATGGGGGATCTTTCGTATGCCAAGTTTTTGTAAAACCTCGTCCACGTTCTCCGTCATGATGGTTGGTGTAACGAAGATTCGGCAAGCTGCTTGCCAATGCCAAGCGTTGTTAAGGCGAAAATTGAAGAAACAGGATCCTGAAAGGAAGTGCAAGGCAATTTTTGGATGGAGGCCTGTGGACTTCCTCTCTAAGGGAGGGTTGAATACGAATTCCATATGTTTCTTTCAAGGCACTCATATTCCCTGATGTCGATGTGACAGCCAGCTGGCTGCAGCTGTCTGGATGGAAGCTGGCAGCCAACACAACCAGCAGATTTTCTTGGGCAAGGACGTCAGGATGTCCCATGTGCACTTCACTCCGTTCTTGTTTTGAAATACTCTCCAACATCCTTCACTTCAACCCGTGGTCGCAGCTGGGCGTGCAGGAAACCATTGCGTGATACGACGATGCAGAAGCATGCCCTTCCTGAACGTCGGTACCTTGCGTGGCCGAGTGCGTCCCGTTTGCCTTCCCCCTTTGGTAGGGCAATCTGAGTATACCCGGCCGTCAGTGACCATCTTTATACCTAGGAGCCTCTAACATCCCTCACCACAGCCTCAAGCACTTCTTTATATCGCAATAGATCTGGCGACTCTCCCGCCCAGAAGTCAAACTGGGAAAGGGCCTTTGCAATTTTGCCGCCGATCGGTGCAACAGTTCCCGTCCAGTAGCCCGACAATAAAGGTGGCTCGCCCCAAAGAGTCGCGGTTCCTCCTGGAATCCAATCTGCGTTGCCACTTTTCACCACAGCCAGCAATACCAAGGACGCACACATAATACTGCGAAGGTCATACCATAAGCCATGGTGGCGGTGGCCACGGGCACGGACGTCGATGGTTCTGATGAGGCATTCAATGCCCGACGACACAAGGGAGTGAAGAACTGCAAGATCGTCGGCGTTCAGAGGCGAGGTACCAGGAATACTGGCTGCTGATCCAGGGCTAGCTCCAATTTCTGGTGGTGAGAACGGGTTTAACAGGCTGCTGATTCGAGGTGGTTGGCCAGTCCCTGCTGCAATTCCAGCAGGTTCGATCATACAGCCAGAGCCAGCATGAATCAAGTAATATAAGAAAGGCTGGTATAGCCATGTCTGCATCTCGAGGAGCCGATTGTCTATGGCCCAGCTGAGTTCCCTTGACACATGACTGCCTGCTCCTCTCAGGGTTGAGTCTGGAGCGCGGATGATGGATGTGGTCTCATAACGCTGCATTGCTGGGGGAAGATGCGCCGACCAAGACAATACTTGCGCTTCAAACTCTTGTGCCATGCGCAGGAGGGGCTTGACATTCAGCCAGGACGATTTATCTTGCCGGAAGAATGTGTTGACGATTCGGTTGCCGATACGACGGAGGGCAATCTCGGTGAGATAGTAATACCAGCTTTCCTCTTCGTTGCATAGCCGAACAACATGCTGTCGCAATTCCGTGGCTCCGTCAACGATCAATCCGGACTCACCATATGCAGATGCTGACGAAGCCGTCCCTTGTTGATCCGTGGTCACAGGTGAAGGCGGTGACGGAAACAGATCTGGATATTCACCGAGACTGATTTCAGACTGCTGAAGGGGTAATTCTACTCGGAACTCGCACTCCGATTTGAAACACGACCAATACAGGCTCTGCTCCAAACGTCGAGACTTACGGTCAATTGATGTGGAGCGTTGATATGAATCTCCCAAAACCTCCGTAAAGTTCCCAGACAGTCCATGAGTCATTTTGAGATACATTTGACAGAATATTGAAGCATGTAGAAAATAATGCCAGGATAGCATTGGCCGCAAGGTGTACATGAGATATACTGGCAGCAGTCTTCGAGTTAGTCATTCCCCCGAGGGCAACAAACTGGACCAGAATTGCGAGTTTTTTACTCACCGCCAGCAAAAAAATGGCATTGTGCACCGAGCATGGAATACTTTAGCGATCCTAGACGGCGACAAGCCATGGTAAAGCAGCAATCGCCTTGCTGCAACTCCTTGGCGTACAGTTTGGAAGACGTTGCCGAGGCACTGGTTGGCCCCGTCTCACTCACGGGAGAAATGGCCATCGACATGGGGAGAGATGATCTGTCGAAAGGCTTTGCCACGGCACCCAGAGCACACGCCATGAGGACTAGACAAGATCGGCCATCCCACCCGATGCCTTGGTCTGCGCATCGTCTTCCATGCTTTACTAAAGCTTCGACGTCGAGGATCGGGTTCTTGGTGTGCACATTTTGCAGGAACCTGTCAATGAGGCCAGGTATTTTTTCCTCTTCGAGATGGGTGAGCCCTGAAGCGTTCGTGATGACATCTCCGGATGAGCTTGAGGTAGCTTCTGTGCAAAGAGAGACGTCATTGTGACCTGGATTGAACAACGCGCCGATCAGGAAGTTTGCTGAATACTTTCCTTCAAAAATCCCCCATTGTAAAACTGTGTCGGCACTTGCTCTATGAGGAGGTATCTGAAGGAAGTCTCCGGATGCCTCTACAGAGGCGGCACGAGGAAGTGTGTGGTTGATATCTCGGGGATTTTCAGTCACAATCGCATCAGCGGCAGTGCGAATCCTCGCTGGGAGTTCTAATACAAATAGAGGTTAGTAATTTACTAAATCTGTGGCTGAATCAATCACGGGGCATGCCTTGGTTTTGCAACGCATTTTTCACGCTTTCAAACTCTTGACGTAGCTGATCAAATCGTTCTAGCAATGTTGCCGTGGCTGTTTCAAGACTATGGTAGAGCGTCTGTTAGCTCTGTGCTCGTGGAGTCTTTGATGGGAAAATTTCCTATCGTTCAGTACACGGCGGTATATTGCAGCATCTCACAGTACAGCGAGCGAGAATGAGGGACGGTATTAGGTCAAACGCCTTATGCCTCCACAAGCGTGAAGCTGGTCGTTCGGCATCATGATACTGACCTGAGCTTGTCATTTCCCTCACCTACGTACTCGCAGGGGTGACCGCTGAGTTTGCACAAGCCGCACAACGGCCGTTTCTTGTCACACTTGACCTTGCGTAGGCGGCACGGTTGACAAGCTGCTTGCCGCCGGTTCGGCCCCTGTCGTCAAAGTGATTAGCCGAAGCCGGCAATTTGGCAAGACTTGTCTTGTGACTCTTGTCGTTGCCTTGCAATTCAATAAAGTGAAAGCAAGAACGCGGCGAGAGAGTCGAAGCGACAAAACATGAAATTGTTGACGGGCGGCTAAATGGAACCGAGCAAAACCACGACTTACACCAGACGTTGGATTTTCATCCGGGTCGCGCCTCTGGCGCTTCGCCGATGGCTCCCCGAGACCGTCCTTGGTTGGAGCATTCTCTGCTCCCCGCCTCGTGGTAGATTCTGGGGAAGACGGGGCCATTGCCGCGGGGAAATGATGGCATGGATCATCGCTCGAGGGAGCGCGCGAGCATCCAGAAGCTTTAAAGCAAATTCAGAGGCTATGACGGCTGAAGTGAACCCGAGCCGTGTCCCATTGGTGCGCATGCGGAAAACCCGGAAAACTCGGCGACTCACCGATGGGAGGCGTTGGCTTGCATTTGCCGACGGCGCCAAACCGAGATGGCCCAGTGGCGTCGACAGGGGAAATGTGTTGGAGCATCAATTCTGGTTCCTAGTCGGGGACTGGGTGCTGTCTCCCCGAACTGGCGGTGTTTCCCCCGGCTTTTGATGTGATATTCCCCATACTCATCACACCAGGCCATGCGACGGGGCCCCGAACCATTGATTCTCTTCGTCTCGTGATTGAGCTTCTCCATTCAAGCGGCCCCTTTGGCTTTGGCACCGAGGAGCCTAGTGTTGACGTCCTGTTGCAGACGTCGGTTATAAAGGCGTCATCGTGCCCCTCCTGAGGATGGGAATTGATGGTTGCATCATTGCATGCTTCAAGGCCTCATCCTCACTATCTAAGGCTTACCCCGGATTTTTTCAATTCATTCATTTTGAGTTTACTCGGAGGGCTGCACCGCATATTGCCCACCATGGGGAAGCTCAGCCAGTTTGTGGCAGGGCACAATGTTGCTCATAAATTGTATAGGCGGACGCTTCTTAACACCGTCTGCGTAGTGGCGGGCGTTTCCATCTTCTTTTTTGGTTATGATCAAGGTCTTATGGGTGGTGTAAACACGACACGAAACTACGCAGAATCGATGGGATTTGGTCATTGGGACGAAGAACAGCAATTGGTGGTGGTTGATAAACCCCTGCTGCAAGGCGGCATTGTAAGTTCGACCCCCGCAGTCTCCATTTTGCCGAGGGAGAAGTAGTAACCATCTTCCATCGAAAAAGGTTGCCGTCTATTATCTTCCTGGTACTTTGGTAGGCAGCCTTCTGGGCGGCTGGCTTGGTGATAAATATGGCCGTATTACAACAATTGGCCTTGCCTGCCTGTGGAGTGTCTTTGCAGCTGCTCTACAATCAGCGGCGCAGAATGCAAACTGGATGTTTTGCGGTGAGTGTCCCTCGGGGTTGGTTTGGGGAGGATTTCACGATGACTAGAGTCTAGAGTAGTTTTACTGACAACCACCATGCACAGCCCGAGTCTTGAACGGCATCGGCACCGGTATATTAAATGCCATTACACCGGTCTGGGCTACCGAGACGGCTGCTCACACCTCTCGCGGACAATTTGTTGCCTTTGAGTTTACTCTCAACATTTTCGGCGTCGTCGTGGCGTACTGGCTTGAGTTGTAAGTTCTTGCTCACCGACTGTGCCACGGTTCTCAGGGCATCTAGAACTAAAACACGAAACCAAACAACAGCGGCACCTCCAAGTACAAGGACCCCAACTCCTCATTCATCTGGAGGTTCCCCGTGGCGTTCCAGATCGTACCCCTTATTCTGCTCTTCTTCATCATTTGGTTCATGCCCGAATCGCCCCGCTGGCTCGTCAAGGTTGGTCGCGAGGACGAGGCCCGCTTCATCCTGCAGCGTCTGCGAGGCAGCGAGGGCGAGGAGGGCGAGCAGGCCGAGGCAGAGCTGCAGGACATCATCAACATCCGTAACCTGGAGGAAGAGACGTCCAACCAGCAGAGCTATCTGCACATGTTCTTCGGCATCGGATCCGGCAAGCTGCACACCGGCCGCCGCGTACAGCTCGTCATTTGGCTGCAGATTCTGCAAGAGTGGATTGGCATTGCCGGCATCACCATCTACGGGCCTCAGATTTTCACAATTGCCGGCATCGGCGCTTCAGACCGTCTCTGGGTCAGCGGTGTCAACAATATTACATACATGGTGACTTTTATCCCTTGTCTGGTCTGGGAAAACCCCCATCCGTAGGCTAACATGACAACGTCACGCAAAAGTTTGCCACCCTGATCTGCGTCTTCACGCTCGACCGAATCGGCCGTCGATGGACGCTGTACTGGGGCTCCGTAGGCCAAGGCATATGCATGTTCGTCGCGGGAGGTCTCGCACGCGCAACCATCAACGCCGGCGACGGCAACCGCGCGCAGATTGGCGGCGCAGCCACCTTCTTCGTGTTCTTGTACACGGCCATCTTTGGAGCCACCTGGCTCACAGTTCCGTGGCTGTATCCCGCTGAGATCTTCCCTCTGCAAGTCCGTGCCAAGGGAAATGCATGGGGTGTCGTCGGATGGTCCATTGGCAATGGCTGGTGTGTAAGTAATCCCCCCCCCCCCCCCTTTTTTTTTAC